TGCTTTAATGTCAGGTAGACCGGTTAAACAAGAACAAAATGCATATTATTTTGATCAACCAATTCCTATTCCATCATATTTGGTTGCAATAGCCTCAGGTGATATCACGAAGGCCCCAATTGGCCCTAGATCGCATGTCTACTGTGAACCAAGTAAGATAGATGCCTGCCAATATGAATTTGAACATGATATGGAGAAGTTCTTGACAACAGTTGAATCGTTAATTTTCAAATATGAATGGGATCAGTATGATGCATTGGTGTTACCTTCGTCATTCCCATATGGTGGTATGGAAAATCCTAACGTAACATTCGCTACGCCAACATTAGTTAGTGGTGACCGTGAAAATGTGGACGTTTTGGCACACGAATTAGCCCATTCTTGGTCAGGAAATTTAGTTACCAACTGTTCATGGGAACATTTCTGGCTTAATGAAGGTTGGACTGTTTATTTAGAGAGAAGAATACAAGGGGCTATTTATGGAGAACCAACAAGACACTTTAGTGCTATAATTGGGTGGACTGACTTGGAAAATTCCATCAATGCCATGGGCAAGTCTGCCTCTAGATTTTCAACTTTGGTGCAAGACTTGAAAGATCAATGCGACCCGGATGATTCTTTTTCAACAGTACCATATGAGAAAGGTTCTAATTTGTTATACCACATCGAGCAAGTGGTAGGTGGAAAAGAGGTATTTGATCCATTTATTCCATATTATTTCAAGAAATATAGGTACAAATCATTGGATACTTACGAATTTTTGGACACATTATATGACTTTTTCAAAGCTAAGAAGGTTGAATTAGATTCAATTGATTGGAATACATGGCTTTATATGCCAGGAATGCCTCCAGTTAAGCCTAAGTTTGATAGTACCCTAGTCGATCAGTGCTACAATTTAGCTGACAAGTGGTATAATGCTATAGTAAAAGGCAACAAGAATTACAAAGAAATTTTCCATCACAATGATGTCAAGAATTTTAGTTCAAACCAATCTGTTGTATTTTTAGACACTCTTACTTCTTTCGACAAGCATGAAACCTTTAAGTGGTCCGACCACATCGATGCGTTACAGGCGATGAGTGAAATATATTCCAATTATTCCAATTCTTCAAATGCAGAAGTCGTTTTCAGATGGTATGCTTTACAGGTTACTGGTAAAAATGAGAAGTTCTATGATCCTCTTGGTGAATGGTTGGGAACAGTAGGTAGAATGAAATTCGTCAGACCAGGTTATGTTTTGTTAAATAGGGCAAATCGCGAAAAGGCAATTGCGTATTTTAAGAAATTTGAAGCAAGTTACCACCCAATTTGCAGATCAATGGTTAAAAAGGATTTAGGCTTGAATTAAGTAGTTCTCTATTCTATTTTGCAGTAATATAAAGAAAGAAACGTACTTTTGTTTTGTGTTCAAATTTTTTTTTGGTACTAATCGCGAATAAGCCTGAATGGATATGTACTCATTAAGTATCAACACGTAAACATTTAGAAGCAGTTAAACGCTATCATTATTACTACCCTAACATATCATAAAAGAAAATGTCGCTTTCTTTTTCTAATATTCCAGTATGTATTCTAATGGTTAATATTAATGAAAATCGATTATTTATAACAAGAAATCAACTTTCAAAAATCACTAGAATTCATCTCAAATACTAACGAAATATAGTTTACACAGCTTGGTGAGAGTTTCAGTCTTGACCGTATGAAAAACAATGTGGGACAGTTAAAGTCATCGATATCCAAACTTCGTCCACCACAAGAATTCTTTGATTTCAGAAGACTTTCAAAGCCAGCCAACTTTGGTGAAGTGCAAAGCCGTGTATCCTACAACTTAGGCTACTTTTCAGCTAACTACTTAGCTGTGGTGTCTATATTGAGTATCTATGCATTAGTTACTAACTTGTTATTGTTGTTTGTTATTCTTTTCTTAGGTGGTGGTTTATTTGCTATTAATAAATTGCAAGGCGACGACTTGGTTTTGCCAGTTGGTAGATTCAACACCTCCCAATTATACACTGGTTTGATGATTGTCGCCGTCCCATTAGGATTCCTTGCTAGTCCTATTTCAACTATGATGTGGTTGATTGGTTCTTCCGGTGTTTCTGTATTATCTCACGCCTCCTTCATGGAGAAGCCAATCGAAACTGTTTTCGAAGACCAAGTCTAAGGCCACAAGCTGTACATTATTTATACTTTAGGTTTAAGGTTATATAGACACTAACTGCAATGTATTTTCCTTAATACAGACATTTATCGGTATCTGACAACTCCATAGTACACTAAAAAAATACCACAGCCTGAAAAGATCCAAGGATCCCAACAATCTACTCCCTCGCCATTTACATATCGATTGTACAACAAATATCATAAATTAAACATGCGAATATAAAGATTAATAAACAAAAAATTATATACTACTAGAGCATATTGCAACAATGTGCCCAGTTGAAACCACCACGAAGGTTCAACGCTCCTCCACAAATCATTTCCAGTATATAGCTTTCTCTAAAATTATCATTAATAAACCTTCTTAGATGTTTAACTTAGTTCTTCTCCAGTGTCTTCTCTTAGCGTTATATCTGATGGTGTTACCAGATCTCAATCTGATCCATTGTGGCAATGGTCTGTTTTGCTTTTGAGCCTTAGCTAATTTTTGCTTAGTTCTAAAAGATTTTTGAGACTATTTCTTGTTAGTATATTGCTCGGGTCCACCTAATTCAAAATTTATCCACTCTATTCATGTGTGTTGTCAAACGTCCACTGCGTCTCACCGGTCTTTGCACACGTCTTCCAGGATCTTCCCAATAATACCACTGGTATCCATTTCAACTTAATGGTCATCACATTCCAATTTTTCATTGTACTGGTATATATATGTCCCATTTTGTTTTCGAATCCAATACACTTCAAAGTTTCTCCATTCGACGGTACTTGTTTCTGACGCTCTTTCTTTCTTCAACACTTCTTCATGAATAGTCTGGTCTTATCTCTCTTCTGTACATACAGGCATCTTTTACTAATTAATTATACTATGTATTCGAATAACAGTAATGTAAAGATTCTTTTCTCAAAAGTTTTTCACCGTCCGAACGGGATGAAGAAACAATTCCAGCGAAAATGTCACAAAACCTCCAAATCCAAACACCCACACTAAACTAAAAGTATACCGATTCTGTTGAACTTCGCAGTAGCGCGCCCACCATAATTGTGACTGCTAAATCGGCGTTGCGAAAAACTTTTAAGACATTGTCGCAATAAAAGTCGCATATTGCGACTAACAGCTTCTGTTTGGGCGTCTCATAGTGCAAGCGAGCCCACTAACAAAAATTTTCGGACCCTATTCTCATAACCCGAATCCAGAGAGAGCGAGCACTAACACTAGTTGAAAAAAAAAAGATAATTTTTCACTGGTCTTAATTATCTACAGAAACAACAAAACGTCAAAATGACCAGAACCTCCGTCTTAGCAGATGCTTTAAACTCCATTAACAACGCCGAAAAAACCGGTAAGCGTCAAGTTTTAATCAGACCATCTTCTAAGGTCATCATCAAGTTTTTGACCGTTATGCAAAAGCACGGTTACATTGGTGAATTCGAATACATTGATGACCACAGATCTGGTAAGATCGTTGTTCAATTAAACGGTAGATTGAACAAGTGTGGTGTTATTTCTCCAAGATTCAACGTCAAGGTCGGTGACATGGAAAGATGGACTGACAACTTGTTACCAGCCAGACAATTCGGTTACGTTATCTTAACCACCTCTGCTGGTATCATGGACCACGAAGAAGCCAGAAGAAAGCACGTTGCTGGTAAGATCTTAGGTTTCGTTTACTAAGTGCATCGTTTACTCAGGGGTCCACATATAGGGCCGGTACTTACAATTCGTGTATTATAATGCTACAAAGTGGATTAGTTAGGGTATTTAGAGCCAATTAATACAAAACGCTACATAAAGACCGTGTAGAACTTTCGAAATATGGACCAGGGAGCTTTATAGGTTTGATACTAGCCTCAGGGCATGTTGGACTGGTATTGACCATGTCTGCTAATAGATGTATATGAAGCTAGCAGGTTATAATTTAGGGCTACTGTCCTAATAGTACTCTACAATAGCGTGAGAACACCATGGTGGAAAATTAGTCGTCTGTGTACCGAAAAGTCGTGAAAAAAAAATTCCAAAAAATTGAGACGAATTGTATGCGGATGGTAGATTCTATCGTGAAAAATCCTACTACAAAAAATTAATCAGACGTTTAATTGAATATCCTAGTAAATCAGTGTATCATATAATTAAAAATGTCTTCATCTGGTATGTTATAAATGAAACGAGTAGTAATATCTCCTATTGTACCATTAGGAATGGTTATTGTTGAAGTGTTGATTGAATATTTGAACCAGGTTGATGAAAAAATTTCTGTGAAAATTTGACTCAAGATAAGTGGTGGGAATTAAACGCAAGAAATGAACGCAGAAACACAGGAAGAGTAGGCTGGAGCAGAACTTTGGAATGAGTGTCAGGAATGATGACATTTGACTCGAAGATCCTTTCTGTGGTCTCCATATGGAAAAATAGGGTGAAAAGAATAATCAGCATAAACAGCAATTAGGGAGATTCGTATAAGAGAAAAATAATACTAACATTAGTGTAGGTCCAGTTAGAGATGGCTCCCAAGTTTTTGGTGTTGCCCGTATCTTTGCTTCATTCAACGATACTTTCGTTCACGTTACTGATTTATCCGGTCAAGAAACTATTGCTAGAGTTACCGGTGGTATGAAAGTCAAGGCTGATAGAGATGAATCTTCTCCATACGCTGCTATGTTGGCTGCCCAAGACGTTGCTCAAAAATGTAAAGAAGTCGGTATTACTGCCGTCCACGTTAAATTGAGAGCTACCGGTGGTACCAAGACCAAGACCCCAGGTCCAGGTGGTCAATCCGCTTTAAGAGCTTTAGCCAGATCCGGTTTAAGAATCGGTAGAATCGAAGATGTTACCCCAGTTCCATCTGATTCCACCAGAAGAAAGGGTGGTAGACGTGGTAGAAGATTGTGAATTATTCGGTCAAGAATTATTTATATATTTTTTGATGTTTTGTTCCACTAATTTAGTTTAGAGGGTTTAATGATGAAAATTATTAATTGAATTACTTTTTAAACACTCTTCCACTTTTTCCGCTGCATCTTCTTCCGGTTTGCTGCAAATCATATACTTACAAATGTACATTTATAAAAAGGTATTCGTATTTTAATTAGCGCAGATGTAGTCAAATGTTATTTCTATCGAATAATGGCCGTAGGTTTACTTGATAGTTGAAAACTGTAACTTTTTTTTCTAGCTATTTTGCAGTTTTGAATAGCGATATGCTTTCTTACTTTTAGAAGCGATATTTTCATACTGCACAACTTATATTAAATTAAGAGTCTCATATACTTTGATGTTATCAATACTACGGAATACGAGGTTACAGAGTCATTCACCGAGATGCTGGAAATTAGTAGTACCTTTAATAACATTTAAAAGATGTATATCAGACCGAAATTCGTCGCTAGATCAGGATAAAATAGTAGATTTGCTATTGAAATCATCGAAGATCGAACCTACTCAGAAAAGCAACACAATTATTAATGATTTTAATAAGAATTTTGTAATTCATGATACCGTTGAACTTCCAGGAATAGCCAAACCCAAAATACCATTTCCTTCAATAAAGTATGGAGACTATGACACTGCTGATATGGAAAATCTTGGCCAATTGTACATAAAATATATCACTGTGAAATACATTATCAATACTAGACCACATATTAGATTTACTGAGGCCTTTAATTACGCTGATAATTTACTCGAGTGTGCCGCTATGGCTTTTGACTCTCGAAAGTCATCTTTTTTAGAATACATTGGACAATTTTGCATTGCGGACATATCTCAATGTAACCAGTACATAGAAGGCTTCTTCGTGGAGGATGCAAAATCAAGTCAGCTAGTCGATTCTTTTGTATCCTATTTCCTTAAAATAGCGCCAAGATTTAAAAGTGATCTGGTTGATTATACCTTGATATGGGACTCAGTTGTTCCAAATTCTACTATCGAAATCCCAAAACTAGAATATGCTAAGGATGTATTTAATCCGTTATTTTTAGTAGACTCGTCGAATGCTACAAAGTTCATGTCCTGCTCTATATTTGATGAGACGCTGAATAGTGCACTTATTGGTGATAAATTGCAAGATTTACAAAACTACGGTAAGCTTATGTTTGAATTCTACACCGTGAAACACCTTTTTTATAAGCTTGATATTTCCAATCCCTTATTTATCAATATTATTAAGAACTTAGATTCTCTTTTTGATAATATAATAAGCTTCTCAGCGCTTACAGATGTCATAAATTGTCCCCAATATTTTTCAATTAAAAGAGATATTCGTACTAAATCAAACTCCAATGAAATTTTTTATCAATATTTGGGTGTTCTAGATTTGAACAACAATATCATAGAAAACCTGGTTGAAAAATGGGTGGGTAGATTGGTCGATTATTTAATAGCAAATTCAAATGGAAATGAAATAGACCCTACCATAAAATTTAAAAAAAATCCAGTACTGTTGCCTCAGTACAAAAAGCAGAAGAATTTACCTGTTGTACCTTGTTTGACGATGAGCGAATCTATGAGTGGTAAAGTTTTTCCACATGGCTACGCAGACACAATCATGTTGGATGAATTAGGGAAACTTGGTCAATCTTGCATTTCTTTAGCATTCAAGAATTACTTGGTAACAAATGGTTTAGGTGACACCGAAAATGAGAACCTTAAACATGAGAAAGAATTTGTTGATATCGTTTCTAACCACATAAACGAATCCATTAAAGTTAAGAATATTACCCCAAATGAGTTCTCGAATTCAGCTGCACCATTTACAAGTAACCAATTCTTAGGTTTATATCTTATTGAGAAATTTGAAGATTGTATGTCATTTCTCAATCAATTCTTCGTAGGAGGTTATAGTCCTTCGAAGTTTGAGTCATCAACAAGTTATTTAAAGTATCTTGCATACCAAACCAACATGCCGAGCTTCAGAATAAGACCCAACATAGGTTTAAAAGATTCAAGTCCTCTAAGACTTCCTCCACTAAATGACACTTCCAGAACAACGAGGCTCCTATTATTGAATAACTCAGTAATAAAACCTAGTTTTGGTACTTATAAAAGTAGGAACTGGAAAAGAAATAATTCATTGAAAAATTGTTTACATTTGTGGCACAATTGGGGAAGTTTATTGTATAAGGTGTCGATACACCATGCCTTACTATCTAAGCTGTCTCAGGTATCATCTCCGTACATCCAAGAATTATTTAAACTATTAACGTCCAATAATTTTTGCAAATATCTTTTAGACGATTCAGGTAATTTCGAGCTAATAGAAAACACTGATTATCAAGCTCTACTAATGGAGAAAAGATATACAAATAGTCTTATTAATGCCCAATTATGTCAATACTTGGCGACTGTACATATGTACGACCCAAATGTAATAAAGGAATGGTCACTGAGTTTTGTTGAATTGTTTATCAATCTTATAGAAAATCTTAATAGTGAAGAAGTTTTACATTTGATCAACACTTTCACAGAAAAGTTTAAGATGCACAAATTTTCATTGTGTCAGACTTTTGCTGACAATATAATCGGAAAAATAAAAGAAGAAAGAGTCGTCATTGATATACCATATATTAATGAACCAAGCAAATATTCTATTGCTTCGCTAGAAGAGATAGGAAAGTCCTTCTTAAGTTACTCTATTGCATCCTTTAATATCCATTATGGTTTGGACAGTTTTATTAATTCTAAAATAGATACGATGGACATGATGAAAGAAGTAGCTGAAACGAAAAGTATAAAAGCACTTCTCTATGGTAAATCAATTTATCAATATATTGGACTTTTAGTTGACCAGAAAGGTAACACTGAAGCACAAAGGGTTATATATAACTTTCTTGAGCAAATTTTGAATACCAAAGCAAAGCCATTAAATTTGTCTAAGATACCAACTCTTAAGTTGAAAATCAATGAAAAAGTAAATGGTGGTTCAGATTTTTCTGTATGGAAAAATGCTATTCAATTTCCAAAGATACATAATGATGCCTTGCATAAACTATTACTAGTGAATTTTTATGTATCTAGAACTTTTTTTCAACTAACCAGAAGTCATGGTGGAAACATCCATGAATTGCCTGATTTATGTACAAAATTCAACACTGTAGGTGGAGAATTTTACAAGTTTCTGGTCGTAAAGCATGCTTACAACCAACAATCATCAAAAGCACTGCTTTTACCTGAAGTAATCTTAGAAAAATCCATAAAATTGCTTACCGATAGAATTTTTATGTCTATTGTATGCTATAAGTCTGGTATATTGTATGACCCATTCAATAATGCAGAATATTTGAAACTTACGAAGAAGGTAATGAAGAACAACTTCTTTTTTCTTCGTTTCAGCAGTCAATCTTTTAGACAGTATATGGGATCATTATGCTATCACGATATTGATTCAGCCGATGACTGGGTTGGCAATATTGTAAATACATTGCTAGACGAATTGTGTGATGCGTCCACTCTTGAAAGGCAACATCAACTATTAAACGAATTAGAATCAGAAATGCAAAAATACTATTTACAAAAACGCATATAACGATTCAAATTTACCTGTATATACACATATTTAGTTTCCCACTAGTTGTAAATATTTCCTAATCAAACTTGGGTACTCTAAGATGTATTTATTATATTAGTGTATGATAAAGTCAACTTTACTAGCCATTCCAGCCTTTAAGAATTGGTACACTCACGTTCTTGAATTGCTGCAACTACGCAACAAAATTCCGAAGTTACAGTTTTAGTAAGACAAAATATGATTTCTGTATAATTCAATTCTGAAAATAAAGATATTATACGCATTGATGGATCCCTTCTTAATATTAGTATTCAAAATTCCAGCGATTTGTTCAAGAACGAATATATCCATAAGGAATCCGAAGGAATAATAGTCGGTATACTCACGACTCTGGGGTAATTCGGCAATATTACATAGAATTTTGCTAACTTTTTTTTTTCAATATTTTTCATTAATCCTTAGTTCAAAAATGAATTTTCAGCCTGGTAAAGATATTCCCCTCAAGCCAGTTGGAGTGCAGAGGCAGGACTCGGGTGTAGTTGGTGTGAGTACAGGGATTAGAAATACTGATAATGAAGCAACATTAGAGACGACTTTTCTGCATACCGAACCTATAGAAAGTCAGAAGCCCTCGGAAGAACCGACTAATGGCCTCAAAGCTTACAGCGTTGTCATAGGATCGTTCTTAGGACTTATCGCTAATTTCGGAGTTCTTAATTCCATTGGTGCTATTGAATCGTATGTCAGTCAGCATCAGTTGAAGGATATCGAGACTTCTTCAGTATCATGGATATTTTCAATCTATATGTATTTGTCTTTCGCTATCGGTATTATTGTAGGGCCCATTTTTGTAATGAAGGGCTCGCTTCCTCCTTTGCTTTACGGTACTGTTCTTATCGTAGGAGGTTTTATGGCTACTGCGAATTGTACTAAAGTTTGGCAATTCATCTTGAGTTTTATTTGCGTAGGAACGGGGCATGGGTTATGTATTACCCCATTAGTAGGAGTTGTCAGTCAACATTGGACTGCAAACGCTATTGGAAGAGCAACTGGTTTTGCCACTATTGGAGGATCAATAGGGGGGGTCATTTTACCCTTAATGCTTCGTTCATTATTTCCGAAAGTTGGATTTGCCTGGAGTATAAGAATTCTTGGGTTTTTCTGTTTAGTATGTATGATCTGTGCAATGTGCTTAGCTAGAGAGAAGTATTGCACCGACTTGATCCCCATGGATTCAGCCTCTACAGATTTTGAAGAAATGAACAAAAGGAAGAAATTTAAAGCAGCAAGTAAGAATATGTTAAGCTTTAATGCACTTCGAGATATTAAATTTTCATTTCTTATTATAGGTGTGTTCTTTGGTGAATTGGCCCTTATTTTAATTGTTACCTATTATGCAAGTTATGCAATTGCTCAAGGTATGTCAGAATCGGCGGCATATATTCTTTTAACTATATTCAATGCATGCGGTGTTTTAGGCCGTTGGATTCCTGGCCACATGGCTGATATATGGGGTCCTTATAATGTTATGATTTTGATGTTATTATGTCTTGATTTGTCAATCATGGTTATATGGCTTCCATTTGGTTCTAATATTGGTGTTTTGTATGCCTTTGCTGCTTTATCCGGTGCTTTTTCAGCTAGTATTTTATCTCTCTTGCCAGTTCTGTTGTCATCTGTAACTATTTATTCTATTAAAAAGGTGGACGTATCCAGACAACAAAATCCTTTCATGGAAAGTGAAGTAGAGACAACAGAAGTAAAATATCCGTTGGAATTTGGCCAAAAGTATGGGTTACTATATTTTTTCGTTTCGATAGGTAATTTATTTGGTATACCAATTGCAAGTGCTGTTATTGGTGATAAAAGCCAACATAATTACGACATGTTCGTACTCTTGGCAGGAATTTTTGCTATAATTGGTACTGTATTTTGGATTATTAGTAGGTACTGTCTTGTTGGATTTAAATTAAATGTAAAAGTATAATTCTGTAAATTTATGACTATATATAATTTTATACACAAATTGATTCATCTTCTTTGTCTCAGAGATCCTCCTCCATTTTGATTCCTCTTATTAGGAACTTTTTCTATTTCCTTTTGTAAGCTAGCAGTACTTCTCTCTTCTCTCTTTCTAGTCTCTGCCCTTTCTTGTACTTCTTGGAAGTGTTCTGCAAAGTCGGGGTTTACCCAAGATATAATATAGGGAGTCACCATAATCGCTGAGCAAACCACAAAGAGTATGGTATAGATCTTGTTCTTAAATATAAATCCAAAGGGACTATCTAATAACATATTGAGTATCGATCCCAGGCGGTGTTCGTAATATTGTTTAATTCCTTTGATAGGCACGATAAGTGGCTCTTGAGAAATAACTGCTTCAGAAGTAAAATTAAAAGTATCCTGACCCAAATCCTCTTCATATGCTTTAATGTCTTGATCTTCAACTAGGATTCTGTATCTGTTTGACGATAGAAGGAAATCATAAGAATTGATGAGCAATTCATAACTTCCGGTTTCCAAATTACTGAACTTAAATACGAAATCTTTGTTTGCTAAAACTTTGAAGGTTTCGGATATCGTAATGTTATTTAAAGGAATAAGTTCGATGTTGAACCGTGATTGAAAATTGACACCATTCAATACTGGACTCTTGTTTTCACTGTCTTGGATGCTTTCGATTTCAGATGGAATCCCAACTACTTGACCAGTAAACCCAATGCAATGTCCAATGCCTATAAATAAGACCTGTAGGAGCGTGATTATCAGTATATAGTTCAACCACATCACCTTAGACTCCAAATATAGCTAGTAGTTTCATTCAGATGAAAGGTCTTGTATTGCCCTAAATTGTAATTAATGGTTACCCGCACGTATTATGACAGTATAAAACTTTTTTCAATTTTTCATCAATTTAACTATTTCATTTTTCTTCTCTATTGTACCACGTATGTGTATTATTGTAGGGCAACAGTTTATAGATTTTATATCTAAACTCCCAGGACTGCTGCTCTCTACAACACATACCAGAGTATACTAGTCGCACCTATATGGCGGTTTTATGTTCACACATAATACTTTCATGGTGAGGGTAGTCATGGATCTTACGGGCGTGGTTGTTTAGAGTGTTTGATTTTTGTCGTTTTAACGAATGACGGGTTTCCAATTCTCCATTGCAACTGGGCATTCTAGCCTTTCCTAACATTATTTCTGTAAAGATATCTAATATTATTACATATATTTCTAGTCTACTTAATTATGTTACAGTACAGTCAAATTCGATTGGCTTTTAGACTTCTTGAGCCCCATCTATCATAGCAATATAGTCCGATAGCAATTAATATCAAACCATAGAGCTGTTGCGTGTTTATTTTACCAAACCACTTAGAACTATCTCTTTCGTGTGGTTGCGTCGAACCAATTGCCAAGATTATACTAACAGTAATTATAACGATTCTCTTCATCATAGAGGCAATTGAGTATGATAACGCAGGAATCAGACCTAGTAAATGGAATGCCAATATCATTTGCGAGAAATGTGATAATGAATCTAGGAATATTAAGCATAGAACCGTTACAAAGTCTGTCGTTTGGTTTGGAATATTGGTAAGACTTTCTACCGGATCGGTAAGTTCTTTAAAAATGCTAGAAAGTTCATTTACGATGAATCCACCGAAAGAGAAAAAGAACCCAATCATTGAACAATAGAATATTGTAGTCATTCTATCAGGTTTATTATTATTATCTCCTAACGAATCATTCGTGAAAGATGCAAACGGATTAGTTATTGTATCATTATTTTGTACAGCTCTAGTATATGGAAGTTGCTGACGGCCAATCTCTTCATTCTTTTCATCAAGCCTTAAATCTGAGGTAGAAAATGGTAATTTTATTGAATTTGTTCTCTGCCTGATAAACTTTTTAGATTTCTTGGGGCTAAAATCAAAAAATTTATTATCTGGTGGTGAAAATGCAAAATTTTGCTCCAAAGCTGGAGTTCCCGGCTTGCTTGCTTCGGTATTGAGTGCCAAAGAAGCTGGATTGTTATTAGTTGAACTACTGTTCCAGGTAAACAATTTTTTTCCATAAATACTTTGTGCAGCAAATACTATAGTACTTATAAGACAAAAAACAAACCCTTTTATTTTTTTATAATCAAATTCGTCCTCGTCGTTCCTTAATAAAGTACTTTTAGACCCAGGACTATTATTCATTGATTCGGATGCAATGATCAACACTACCCCTCCAACTAAAGGTGTTAATGAAAGATAAGTTATAAATGGAAATTTCACATTGTATATCACTCTATAGCCAGCTACAATCAACAATGGTGATAACGCCTTTATGCTTGATACTGTTGACAACGGTATCAATGATGTAGCATTCAATGAGAAGTACTTACCTGTAAATTGAAAAATACCTAATGGCAATACTGCAATCAAAATGCTCTTATCAAAAATTGGTTTGCTAGGATTATTTGGCAAACTTCCCAATGGAAAATGCTGTTGTACATCTGGAAACTTCCTTGCAATAGAAATAAAAGCAAATGCCAACAATGTGCTAATAAGAAATTGGAATTGACTCAAGAATAATGGATATGTAAACTTCACCAATATAAGCTTTGTCAATTGCGACGTTATAGATGATATCAGGTACCATAATAAACACGTTAAAATCGTTTTGATCGAGATAGGAGGAATCACCAGTGACAATGTAGACATTTTGATAGATGATCACAACTAAAACGATTTTACAATTGATCCTGAGGAGAAGCTTATTTATGTCCGCATCAGATTCAATTTACATTTGATTTCACTGCGAAATTGCGAACAAAAAAATATGGCATTTAACATCTACAACTTTTATCACCAACTATATACTTTACCGAATGAGTCCCCAACGACTAATTTCAATAAGCCCCTACATAATTTGTCTTCTGTATCAATTTCACTTTGCTTGAATAGTTCCATAGCTGTTATCTCTCCAACTGATGTAGACCCAAAATCCACCGCGTCAATTAACACCAAAGCCCAACATTCATTTCCTTCGTCTTCTTTTAGCTCATATATATTAACAAGTCTTTTTGGTGCATTATACGCAATTGCTATCAATTCATTAGACCAATATATATGACTGTTTGTAACCAGGTATTTATCAGTATCAACCATCGGATCATTTATACTCCCACATGTTACACTTGAGATCACACCATGGTCTAGATGTTTTGAAAGAATGATTTCTCCATTTATAGTAAAGATCATTAACAAGTTTTTTCTTTCCGAGCTATATATTGCAATTATATTTCCTGTGTCATTCGAAATAGAAGTTAACACTCTTAGTGGAGTCTTGAAAGCGGAAGGTGGCATAATTTTTCTGACAAATTTAAATCTTGTGAAATCCCATATAATAATCATTCCATCAATGTCGACACTAATACCTGTCTTAAAACTACTACTAAAGATCAATGAGGAAATTCCTGTAAAATGTCCCCTGAGTAAACATTGAAATTGTAAATTCATGCTGGGTTTAAGGGCACATTTCCATACATTAATAATCCCATCTTCTGAGGCTGTTAAAAAGCTCTTGTGTCCAATTGGAAGAATACAGGTTATATTAGACAGATGGATATTTAAAAACGTTGTCTGGTTAATTATCAAAGACTTGCAATTTCCTTTGAATAAGTTTGTTTTCCGAATTAACAAATCATCCTCATTACTTACACATGATGGCCTACCTAACCACTTTCTCAGGGTTAATTCCAATTTCTTTATAGGTGCTTTCAACTTAGAGCTGAATATTAATCGTGGTTCAGTATTTGTATTTATCAAACTCATATAATAGTTTGGTAGATTCAATACTTCTTTAATAGGATGCGCCTTTTGAAATATCTTCAACGGTGTTTGTCCGAAATTATTGATCATTCCAATTATTGCCCTCTTTTCGACCTCATCATTAATCTTATCTAGATTGATAGCGCCATTATAGGATAAATGATGGAAAACATTTAATGAATTTACTGCTTCTTGGCCACTTTGTTTATGTCCAAAGATTAATTCTATCCATAGATGCAAATTAGCAGAAACGTACGAACTTTCTAAAGCTTCCCTATTTTTCGCAATAAATAACTTAGGATCGCCTTTCGCCCATGGTGGAAGAGATACGTCATTCGATGCTTGTCCATTCTGAAGGGTCCCGAATTCAAAATTACTAGAGTTGGTCAAAAACTCCGGTAAATAGAAAAACTCTGGGGTCAACTCCCTTACATCAGTTGTGTTGTCTCTCGATGCTGAATTCCAAGCCTTCTCAACGGAATTAAATAGTCTATCAGCATGATCAAACTTTCCTCCTTGCAATAACAAATACGACTGTACGTAAGGCTTCAACCTAATTAAAAAAGATGTCACAATCATTGCTGAAGAATAATGAGTACCATAATGAAAGGGAGGAGCATTATTATCATGCAAGCTATCCAAAGCTTCATATCTTTCTCGGAATTCGTTTGCTCTCCCCATAGTCTGAGCTCCCATTGGCTTTGATAAGTCACGAAAAGTTTTCGGGTTCGACAAGTCTAATGTTTCGCTAGTATAATCAGCAATTACCCATGGAAATACTGGATATTGGGTTAAGTCGTTATACGTTCTTCCGGCAAGCGTATTGATGATTATCAAATAATAAAAGTTACTCATCTCACCTCTTTTCCATTTCTTTGTAGCCGCCAATAATGACGATGTCGATCCGGATGTAAACGCTGATGCTAATTTCGAAGTAAAGAAAGATGTTCCATCCGTCAAAGGATGTCTTGTAGATATTGATGAAGAAAGTTGCAATGCTTGCAACAAATCATTGTCTAACCCTTTTCCCGACGCATAAGCAAATAATTTGCTGTATATAGAATCACGTTCCTTCGTAGACAAGCAAGTAATAAGAATACTTGCACCATCACTAAAAAACATCTCTATAGCTATATCGCGTAATAGAAATTGTCGCTTGGATATGCAGCTTAGCTTATCCAATCCCCAACTTTTTGTTCTATGAGATCTTCCATTCTCACTTTTCAAATAGTTTCTAGATTGGGAATTTACTAGCTGAAGATAAGGGTCTCTTAATTCAATTGGGGCATCATGTGCATCAATAACGTTTCCATTTGCACAATGTAAATAATTTTCAATCAAATACAAATGATTAGTTCCCAATATCATCAAACTTTCAATAGGTGCTAACCCATTTATTTGACTGATATTCCATAGGGCCACAATTTGATCACCCATGTACAAACTCCTTATAACTTTCCTATTTCTGTCTTCGAATGAATTGCCTTCTGATTCCGTCATATCCGATGCATCATCAATGACCTCGTAACTATCATTATCGTCAGTAGTATCCAGAATACCGTCCATATCACTGTTTGTCATTGAGTAATTGAAGTCCTTAAGAGAAGGAAACTCATTATTAATGGTCTCCACCAGCTTAATAGGGATATTGATATTGTATGATAGTTTTTCCGATTCAGATAACTGATTTTGCACAATCATTCTCCTTCTCATGCGATCGACATTCTCAATGAAGTCCAATATATACTGGGACTTTTTATTGAATATATCCTCTTGATTTATTAATCTAGCGACTTCGATTTTCAATGAGTTGTATGTTGTAACAAAATATTGCATGTTTTCCTGTTTATCCTGTTCGGCTCTACTAAATTTTATCAACTCTCCATTAACCATAGATAATCTCAATTGTTCACAATCTTTTTCAAAATTGTTGATATATACGTTATTCATTAATCCTAAACTGCCACCATTATTTAACGTTACAGCGGCCATATCTGTTACGTTTAGCGTTGCTCGTTCACCATACTTTCCAATGCATACATGATAACTCTTCGTGAATATGTGCTTGAATGTAGGATATTTCTGTAGGTTTCTTAATGTTTCATCATCGTTCTTAGTTAGTAGATTGTCAAAAAACTCTGTAATTAATATTTCAGATTCATTATAGTCACTACCCTTACTTATAAGTGAAATAGTTTTATGGAAATCTTCGCTCTGCATCATATAACAGGAACGCAAAAAGTTAAATATATACTCAGCCTTCTGGCTCTGTTCTTCTGTTGACAACTTGAAAAAGCTACCTAATAAAAGTGATACTAATTGACTCATTCTTTCTTCATCAAGGACTTCTCTTCGAAGTATAGTCATTTGTCTATATAGAAGCCACTTCACAAAATCGCCTAGCTTATGATCAAGTTCAGACGACTGTGTTTCAGATTGAGATTCAAATTTCAGAGTTTGGCCTATATTGCCCCTTTCCTTTTTATTGTGCTGCTCATCATCATCCGATATTTTTATTAATTTAATGACAATTACTTCTCCTAAGTATTTCTTCAAATTCTTCATTCCAATATATGGTTTATTTGTGCTTTTAGATGATTCGTTTGTCTCTATTATTGAAATAACACATGTTAAGAATTTATCGATGTCATTTTTTCCAACAACATAATTTTGGTCAATAAATGCTGAGTAGTAGTAATTTAATATGTCGATAGTGCCTTCTAAAAATTCTTTTTCTTGGAATATGAAATTAGATATATCAACAAATTGATTAACATGTTCAAATATTCGTGGAAAAATAATATCAAGTATAAGCTTTTTCGTAAAATCACTCAATCCATTGAAAATATCAAAAAACTCAGAAGATTTCAATAGCTTAGCCACAAATAAACTTGATAAGACTTTTGCTAACTTTTCGTAAGTGCTTTGAAAATTTGGCAAAAGTTCAAAATTTATCCACGATAGTGATAATTTTAAATGGCCTAATAATTCGAAAGCACCTTCTAACCATTCTTTTTTGTTATAATAGTTAGACAAGGGCTTAACATTTTCAATTCCAAAATTGATAGATTCCGTATACTGATTAATTAGATGTAGGACGTCGTACGAAATCTCTAGGTCGTTATCATCATAGTCACTTCTTTTACTCTTTAAAGGTGAACTTGGAGCACTCAATGATTTTCCTTTTTTAATACTTAAATCGTTCATCGAATTCAACACTAAGTTGTTCAATAATATCAAAAATTCTGGCATTACTAATTGATTAAGTCTTGATATATAATTCTCGTTAGCAAATACCTCTGTTAAAGTCAACGATGATTTATCAACATCCCTTAAATCAATCCCAAAACTTGCTAGATAAATAAGACATAACATTTCATCATCCTTCCACCAGTCTTTTAGGAAACTACTTAAAATATCTAGCCCATGATTTACATGAAAAAATCTCTTGATTATATGCGGACCGAGTATCTTCAACAACCTCGTAAGTAGTCTAATACCACAATGAACAATCTCTTTGGAATATTTACTGTCGTTAGTTGACTTATACTTGAGCAATAATAAAATCCAGTGGATCGTTATAGATCTCGAGAATTTTTTCAATACTTTAATTGACAGGTTTGAATCACACAATATTTTTGTTAGTGATTTCAAAGCAAGAACACTAATTCTTTCGGAGTAGATGTGTGGATTTTGATACAATAAATAAATAACAAATAAAGATATTGTTCTAATTGTTTCCACTGAAGTATCCGCCTTCAAGATAGAATCAAATGTATTTGATAATTCATGAACAATATTCGTTTCTTGGGTTTCAGATGAAAGAAAAGGTGATTTAAAAAATTGCAAAACTTTCCTTAATAGCTTCATCTTGTTTAACTCGAAAGCATTGATATAAGAGTATTTACTCTCACTAATGAGCACTCTAAAATGATATAGTAGAAGCTCGAATACGTTAGAACCGTAATACAAGTCAAAATTTAGGATTAAAAATCTGTAGGCTATTGGATTAATAATGATCGACTCATATGGGTTAATAAAATTGTAACCTGAATGGACCAATATTACTTTTAATAAGTCCTGCTTTTGAAAATCTGTTTCTGGGCTTTTACTTGAGTCAAATCCCGGCACTAAATTGAATTCTAATGATGAGTTAATATTTTCTTTGTAACGCATCAAAAGAATCAGTAGTAAACCATAGCCATTAATGTTTTCAAACTCTTTACTCAATCTCCAATTGTTATTCAAAATGGAAAATAACAACGTGAGAGATTTATATAACAATGTGTCAATGATCTTTTTATCTCTGCTAGTCGAAATCTGCGACGAATATTCAATTAATTTAAGTAATAGTGAAGACCCCCCGATACTGTAAAGTGCGCTGTGAATTGAATTAGACTTGTGGATTAATATCTTAGGTGAGCAAGGGGCCTCTAAAGAATCCATGAACGAACTTGCATTAGAATCAAATAATACATTAGATTCCTTAAATCTGCTTAAAATAAGGACTTTAGCTATTGATTTCCTGTCTATGGCATTATTAGTCGTACCATTTGTTAAATTTTTATTCATCTCAAACTGATGTTTTCCTTGTCTCATATGGTTTAAAACATCTGAATTTTCCCTTGTGTGATTACTTTGAAGCTCCTTGATCTTCAAGCTCACATTAATCAATCCTCTGTAACTCAAATGATTTAATAAACTTAAAAGTCTATCCTCGGAGAAATCTTTAAAATCCCAATCGTATCCTAGGCCGAGATTATATAGAAAATGTACCCATTCATATGACAATGCAACATTAAGAACTGTTAAATTTCTAATAAGTAGTTCGTCGTTATTGTGACTTAAAGTTCTTCTTTCATCTCCAATGTATACTTTATTCCATGAATTTAAGATTTTATAAAGCTCAGGACAAGGAATTGACTCGCTATATTCCCCATTTATGAAAAGATTTAAATTAGTATAACTATCATAAGTCAACGCAAAATGAGTATAGCTCTGGTTATTGTGGTTAGGAAGATCTAGTATTTGATTAAATGAAAATTGCATCCTTGATCCATTCTGATGGTTTTTAATTTCAATCATAAACTGATTATTATTGACTAATTGGATTTTTAATGTAGATGAATTTGAACCAGAAGAATTTGCTAAAAGGAATAACGTAACAGTTGAACTACCATCATCGAACTTATTTTCTATGCAAGAGCTATTTATTTTGAAAAATGATTGTATAGTTAGGCACTTCAGTGAATTTAAATCATTAATAAACGGAATTGTTACAGCTGAATTTTGAAAATCATTCAAAACAAAAAAGTCAAAATGACATGGATAACTTGTAAAAAGTTGATTCAAAAGATCTAACAATACCAATTTGATACAGTGATTTATTTTTTCATTATATAATGGCATCATTAATTTTCTTAGCAAATCAATATCACACCCGAATTCACTAAAGATTATGATTAATCTTCCATGTTGACTCACAATCAGAGGAACGTTACAATCGAATGAAGAATCCAATTCAACCGTGGATACCAATTCTAGGAAGTTTGCAGCTATTAGTTTGTGAACATTTTGTCGATACATTAGGATTTTGATCGTATATGATAAAGAAACGCTGTACAAGAATAATTCTAAAAGAATAATCTTAAAATCATGGTGTACTTCTTCATCTAAGTTGTTCAAATTTTCAAAGAAATATTCAATATCCCTACTTTTCACAGAAAAGTCTGTCGTTTCAATAGGATATGATATCACCAATTCTTCTTCTATTATAGTAGATAGCTCTGTGCTATCATGACTTGTATCCGCTAGTTCCACTTGCCATTTCATAAGTAATTCTTTATTTATTGTGTATCCTGTTAGAATCCTATCGCATAAATGATCGATTAAAGTAACTTCGGATTTGTCAAAACCCTCGAGATTGGTGTCATCGTGTATATCCTTCGTAGGAGTAGATGACATCTTATCAGTTCTACCAGTAGTACAATCCTGTCGTCTGTCCGTTATGCTATCAATTGCTTCAACGTGTATTGGTTGTAATGTCTTGATATATTTTGAGGGCTCTTTCTCACTATGGCTTTATGTAGTGTATGGTAATGAAGTAATATGTTGATATCTGGGGTTGTCTTAGTATTTTTGGCTTTAGTATAAAATCAATTGCTCAAATTTTAAGTGCAGGTATTAAAGCTTAGACGTCTTCAGCCTTTCATTTTAAATAATAGCTAAAGACTCTTGATGGTCTACTATGATAAAAAAGGTATCATGCATAACATATGCGTTTGATCTTTAAATATGGTTGAATTTTCTCTTTAATATACCCACACAACTAGAACTTACTTGAGTTGTAGTCACATACTAGCTAATATAATATACAATGCATTATTCAACGATAGGTTAGGAATCATCAACGTATAGTTTCAATTGATCTAAATATCTTCTTTTATTTCTGTAATGAATAAAATTTAGAATTGTATAAATCAATTATGTACTCTTTATTACAATCCTGGCGTCTATGATTTCACAGTTTTCAAAAATATCAAATTTTTGCAACTGTAATTTTTTACTCAATTTTCTTATAAATATATTTGTTACCAAATAATATTTCATACTACATAGGCTAAGACTAGAATGCAATCACATAGTAAAGCATTACATTTAGTTTGAATTTACTTCGTTGCCCTGTTCCTGTTTCTACTGGCACATTTGGACTATGCAATGCACTGGTAAAGGACCTCTACTAGCCTATTGCGATATAAAAAGATTCCTGAATTTAACATAAATATAACTATTACATTTATATTCATGTGTTACTCTGAATATGAGCCATACTCCTAGGCTCTATCTATAAGCTTAGGAAACTTGTGCAATTATTGTAGCAATTGCTTCTTACATTTTGATAGGTAGCGCGCGCAGTGAAAATGTAGGAAGTCAAGATCTAATGTTTAACACGAAAAAAAAATACTTTAGTAAAAGATTGTTCTAGACTACGTATTCAAGGGTGAATTTGCTATCCATACAATAGGGATAGAGATTGAGTACTATCGAATACTTTATTTTAACTAAAAGTTTAAAAAACTGAATTTGCAAATGTCAGAGGAAGCAAATAAATCTCCCTCAATGCCAGGTGATTACTCTTTTGGAACCAAAGAAGAAGTGGAAACCCAGCAAAAATTCGAAGAAAGTGATACAGATGGTTTGCAGCAAAGAAGGGAAATATTGAGCCAATTGTTACACATTAAAGACATACATGAGGGAGATACATTGTTTCTTGTATCGCGAGATTATGTTGATGATATACTAAATTTGCCAGCGGACACATTTGAGGAATTGAAGAATAAAGTAGGACCAATTAATTGCAAGGCACTAGTAGATGAAGCCGGATTCTTGTATCCAGAAGATGAAAAGCTGAACACAGTTGCTACACGTAGCATTAAACCAGACGTATTTCAGAAATTGATGGAATGGTTTGGTATCCACGGGGAACCTATTGCGAGAGCTGCCATGTTAAATCCTACCACAGATACTATCGAGGTTGAAAAATTTCCACCATATTTTCATATTCATACTTTACTGAAAGGTAATACTAATAGAACCTATAACGGTCAAGTGCATAATGGTGTTTATTTATCACGTACTAGAACTTTCAATGACTTATTTGATGCGATTAGAGTTACCATGTTCAAAAATTCAGCCAACCAAAAGCAAATACCGTTCCGTATTTGGTTTATACCGGCAGATAATTCAGACAATCTTCCGAGTTCAATTTCCTTATTTGCATTTATTAATGATGTTCGTAAGAAACACTTACTCCGTCAAGATTTTTATAATTATTCATTGAAAAGTCAAGGAATTGTATTGCCGAGCTACCATATTTTAGTAGAATCATTTGACAAGTCTATCAAAAGCTATCCTGTGGATAATTATTTTAACTCTGTTGATTTATCTTCATTTGAAATTGAAAAGATGATTGAAACAGGTGGAAACCTTGGTTTAGCAAATCTTGGAAACACTTGTTACATGAACTCTGCACTACAATGTTTACTTCATGTTCCTGAAATTAACTATTATTTTTTCTATAATATTTTTGAGAAAGAGCTCAATAAATCCAATCCACTTGGAAATAAGGGCCAGATTGCGATTGCATTCGGTTCTTTGTTACATAAGTTATTTGACAACTTGAAAAATACGAACAGTTCTTTTGTATCTCCTAGAGAGTTTAAGTTCACTATTGGTCACTACTCATCAATGTTTCATGGCTATCAACAACAAGACTCTCAGGAGTTTCTAAGCTGGTTATTAGACGCTCTTCATGAAGATTTGAATCGAATTTACAATAAACCTTATTGCGAAAAACCAGAATTAAAAGACGATGAAGTAAATGATCCAAATGCGATCGCTAGGTTAGCAGATACTTGCTGGCACCAACATAAGCAACGTAATGATTCAGTAATAGTTGATTTATTTACCGGTTTATATCAGTCTACTTTAATCTGTCCAGCTTGTTCCAAAACTTCGATAACTTTCGATCCATTTAATGATTTAACATTGCCATTGCCAATCAATAAGAAATGGTATCATACATTTACAATCATAGATCTTTCTACCGATTTATTGAATCTTGAGTCACGTATAATGAAATTAGAGGTTGAACTAGACAAAACCTCAAATTTTGATGAATTGTTAAAATATCTTAGTACATTCCTAAAAATTCCTCAAAAGTATATTTTCTTGTTTGAAATTTTCAATAATTTCTTTTACAAAGATTTCCAGGCAAAGTATAATAAATTGAAGTTCTTTCCTACAAGCGAAATAATTTCAGATAGTGATGATATCCTTGTCTATATTATTCCGCATAATCCTGAGACGGATATTATTATTCCTGTAATTAATACAGTGACTGACCAAGATAAATCTTATAATATATCGAATCCTTTTGGATTGCCGTTATTTGTTGTATTAGATAAAGTCAATGATGTCAGAAGCTTTGGTAAGATTAGACAGAAACTTGAAAGCACAGTTAAAGTATTATCCAAAATTGATATTGATGCTCATTATAATGAAATAAAAAAATCCAATAAACAGTATCATTCAACAAAAGACTTTCCCTTGTTGGCGAGAAGCCTGCAAGAAGATACTGATATGCTTGAAGATGATAGTACCAGGAATATTACTTCAGACGAGGAATACGATTCAGATATTTCATTAGCTAATCCTAACGTGGGTGGTGATTATGGGTTTAATATAAGGCATTATCGTGAAACAAAACCTCTTACTCGTTCATTCAACAAATTCAATTACAATTCTGATGACCAAGATGTTCCTTCAGATGGTGTACTCAATATTCCGAATTTGAGACCAAATTTCAACAATTTGCCGAAGTTGTCGGACGAGCTTCCGCAATTGAAGCAGAACTACTATTATTACCCTCGATATGTTGAAAACTCAGCTAATGAAAATGAACAGGATGTCATATCTGATGATAAAGAAAAGGTTCATGAGGATTATGTTGTAGTAGAGAATAATTCTGATGATGAAATTGAAAGCAATCCTGCCAAGGATACTCCTCAGGAACTGCTGGATGAAGGACTCGATACAGAGAACGAGAATAATGGGCCAGAAAATATTGGGCTGTTATTTGATTCTGTTAGCGATTTGCCGTCGCAGAAAAATGATCCTAAACTCAACTCTGAATTGAAGACTGATAACCACCCAGTTTTAGTTTTCAATAATACGACTTTGGTATGCGAATGGGATTTTGATATCTTTTCAAAGCTTTTCGAAAATCCAGCAGATCAGAAGTGGATAAATTTGTCCTACATTCCAAATGCTCAATTAGAAGCCAATAAAAGAAAACTAGAGCAACAACAAAAATCTACGGTCTCACTATATGATTGTTTGAAGAGTTTTAGTACTCCAGAAATTCTAGGTGACCAAGATTTATGGTATTGTCCTAACTGTAAAGATCATAAACAAGCAACGAAGACTATTCAAATTTGGTCAACTGGTGATTTGTTGACGATACATTTGAAAAGATTTCAAAGTGCGAGATCTTTTAGTGATAAGATTAATATGGTTGTCGATTTCCCTATTGAAGGATTAGATATGTCATCATTTGTATCTAAGGAAGAAGATGATTCTGGTTTAATTTATGATTTGATTGCTGTGGATAACCATTATGGTGGACTTGGAGGAGGCCATTATACGGCTTCAGTCAAAAATTTTAGAGATAACAAGTGGTACTATTTTAATGATGGAAGAGTAAGTGAAATGAGCGACCCTACAGAATGTATTACTGGAGCTGCTTATTTGTTGTTTTACAGGAAGAGAAAACCAACTTCTGAATTCTTAGGTGGTGATGAATTACAATCCGTGATTCAGGAAGGAAGAAATAATTTTAGCCAAAACTTGAAAGATTTGATGAATAATTTGACCAAAACAAAGGAACAAGTTGACGACTTCAATCAACACGATATTGCTTTTAATTCACATGAAGAATTAAAGTTGGAGCAGGCAGATGAACAACAACAAGAAGTAGAAAATTCCTCAAAGATTTCAGACATTTCACAACCGAATGAACAGTTTCTGTCAGCTAAGAAATCCAGATTACCAATGAATGAAGAGGCAACTAGTGGAGAGTTTCATGGTGGTGATAATTTTAATCGTAGAAAGCAAAGGTTGATATCTAAAAATAAGAATTATAACAAGTCAATCAGTATTAAACCGGATAATGCAATGGATTACTCATCATCAAATATTGCATCGCCATTAAGTTCGGGTTCAGAAGATAACATAGTTAGTGATAACATAAGTTTGCCAAATTCTGATGCAAATGTGGATGATAAATAGAATTTTGTATAGTTATATTAAATGTAATATATATATTAGTTATTAGAAATTACTATTTCGTGTATTGATTTATGTTCTCTATATGATTCTTTCTGGCAGTCTGAAAGTACGGTATCTATCTGCTAAGAATATTTTTTAAAATTAACAAATACTTTATTATAGTACATTACAATATGTATATTTATCATACATTCATTGACCTTAATTTAGCAATTTGAATACATTTTTTTATGGTTTCAATATTAACATTTGCACCACCCCCAATGATACTCACATGCTTCATATGTGAATTGTCCTTGTTAATTATTATATTGGCTTTTGAAAGACATTCAGACTCTTCAGAATCACCTTCCAAGTCCGCCAATATAACTGACTTGGAGTCAACATCCATATTGTTCGTCGAATTAGATTCTAATTCTATGATACCAAAACTAGATGCAAATCCAATTTGGTCGTGGTTTAGAGGTAAGTCATACATCAATGATTCATTTCCATCGATTAAGACATCATTTGATTTACTTAAATGACCGAAGTTTCCTCTTGATCTAATAGGCACTTTTATATTATTGAATGAGTCTTGTACGTAAACCTTTGGTAGTTTAGTATTCTTCAATGCATTAATCAACGATGTATGGCATACATCAAATAATGGTCCTGATCTTGAAAATACCTTCAAATGAGCATATAATACAAACGAGTAACATTTTATATTGTTGAAAATCTCGCTGGTTTCTTCTGAACCAGGGTATATTATCTCTAAATTCCCATCATCATTAGCAATCGCCATTCCTGGGTTCGCTTCCAATGATTTTGTGGTTATTATTTTTGAATGCAATATGGTCTCGTATAACTTCTGTGATAAGATCATCTCTTCATCTGTAGGTGCTCCAGACCTTCCTCTCGATATTTCTACCACTGGGTATACGGATGTGTATGACGCCTCAGAATCGGTAGATTCGAAGATTGAGCTTTTTGGTGTTTCAATAACACCTAAGGTTATTCCACAAATGACAGTGGTATTGCCATTCTTTACTATTGATGATCCCACTGTAGAATTTCCTTCAAGTTCTTGAAGATTTCCGGTAGAAACGTCTAATGGTTTGAACTCATTGAAATTTCTCAAACAAGGCCTTAATCCTAGGTTTAGGTGTCTTTGTAATGAAATATCTGGGGCCAACCTGTCTAAAACACTAGGCGGGAACGATATTTGGTGGAATTCGTTTGTCATTTGTGTGAGTAGTTGCAGCCAGAAGTCCGTTTCTATATCAAATTGATCATATACAAGAGATGCCATCAGAAACCACAAAGTGTTACCCGGCAAATATTTATATTTTCCAGAATGATGATTGCACGTCCTTCCCTTTTTCTGCGATTTAGTGTCATTCGGCCTTAGACCGCATGGACCCACTACAGTAATGCCGACAGTATTGCACATGCACATATTTCGGTTATCTATGTTCAATTTATTTTGGTGCAAGAGCCCTAAATTGAACCTTTTACTGATGGCATAAGAGTATACCGAGATGTAGACATATTGGGAATTTCTCAATGTATTGCCATGAGTATGTTCCAAGTAATGTCAGAGAGAAATCAATGTAAAAAAATTGCTAAATATGTATGGATTCTTTAAGGCGAAATCAATATTACAATAATATATTGAATATTTGTCTTTGGGTAGACAATTAAGAAATGTAGTATTACACCGTACTATAAGTTATGTCAGCCGTAAGACCGCATCCATTAATATGAGATCCTTACGTCCTCCTGCCCTAAAATACCCGCCTATGGTTTTGCTTGTATTTCATAGCACTGGTGGTGCACATGCCCTTATCAGTTAACTCGATAAGAACCGAAATCTCATTGGCCAATTTTCGAGTGCATATTTTGAAATTCCCATACATATATCTAAATGAATGTTCCTTCGAAATACAAAATATTCTTTCTTATTTAACTATAGTTTCCTAAGATATATATTGACTATATATTTTAGCAATTGAAGTGCTGAGCAATATTCCTGTCTAATTAATTTATCGACAAACTAACGTTCCTGTTCATATAAAAAAGGTTTATTTCCTTCTCCATAACTAACTTGTTATTATATTAAAACACTTCAATTCAATTAGAGTACGTATACTTAGAACCTTCAGCATGCTCCAGCATTTCACGTCCCGATCATTACCAAATGCTTATTTCGAAGATAAACATGTCCCATAGAAGCACCTTAGGGCTATATCACATATGACACAAAATCATATGTATGATGATTATAAAGTTATCTTGATTGGCTGTGCGGTACCGGCCTTTAGAATTTCCCCTCCTTTTCTATTATATTGACATGTTGGTGCTTATCCATTGAACAGTATAAGTAATGACAATTGCTCATATATACCAGTTGATGAGTGAAAATTGAATAACAGCCATTCTCTAAAAGCTTTCTATTTTTCAATTGTGGTTTTTGATCGAGGCTTAATCGAACTCAATAATAGAATACTAACAAGTTAGCAATGGCTTCATACTTACCACAAGAAGAGTTTGAAACTAACGTTTATAAATATGACGAGACCCCAGAAAACAAATCCTGGGCTTCAACCTTGCCAACACCTAAAGGTTTATATAACCCAGAGTATGAGAAAGATGCATGTGGGGTAGGATTCACCTGTCATATCAAGGGAGAAGCATCCCACAAGATAGTTTCTGATTGTAGAAATTTGTTATGTAATATGACACATAGAGGTGGTGAATTAAATCCCAAGGATGGTGATGGTGCCGGGTTGTTGTCTTCTTTACCACACAAATTTTTCTTGAGAGAATTTAAATATTACTGTAATATCGACTTGCCAAAATTGGGCCAATACGGTACCGGTAATATTTTTTTCAAGAAAGATGATGTTGTATTTGAAAAGTCTAGAAAAACTTTTGAAAGCATCGCTAGCACCTTAGGATTGAAGGTTTTAGGATGGAGAAAAGTTCCTCACGATTCTTCCATTTTAGGACCAGCTTCATTATCAAGAGAACCATTAATATTGCAACCAGCAATTGTATTGGCTGAATTATTTGATGGTGAACATAAAGAGATTTCAGAAGAGGAATTTGAAAAGAACTATCAAATAGAATTTGAAAAAAAATTATTTATCTTAAGAAAACAAAGTACCCATACTATCGGATTACACAATTGGTTTTATATTTGTTCTTTGTCCTCCAAAACGATCGTCTATAAAGGTCAATTGGCCCCTAATCAAGTTTATGCTTATTATCACGATTTAGTGAATGCTGAATATGAAGCTCATTTTGCTTTAGTTCATTCTCGTTTTTCTACCAACACATTTCCATCTTGGGATAGAGCACAACCATTGAGATGGGCAGCGCACAATGGGGAAATCAACACTTTAAGAGGTAATAAAAATTGGATGAGAGCAAAGGAGGGTGTTATGGAATCCGAATTATTCGGTGACGAATTAGATAAATTATATCCTATTATTGAAGAGGGGGGCTCAGATTCAGCTGCATTTGATAACGTTTTGGAATTACTCGTTATTAATGGTGTTTTGTCTTTACCTGAAGCAGTGATGATGTTAATTCCAGAAGCTTGGCAGAACGATACCCACATTGACTCTAAGAAAAAGGCATTTTATGAATGGGCTGCTTGTCTTATGGAACCTTGGGATGGTCCTGCATTATTTACTTTTGCTGATGGAAGATATTGTGGTGCAAATTTAGATCGTAATGGTTTAAGACCTTGTCGTTACTATGTTACCGACGACGACCGTATGATCTGTGCCTCTGAAGTTGGAGTTATTGAAATCGAACCAGAAAAGATTTTGCAAAAAGGAAGGTTGCAGCCAGGAAGAATGTTATTGGTGGATACCAAAGAAGGACGTATTGTTGATGATCGTGAATTGAAAAATAAGGTTGCTTCAAGATTTGATTTTAAGTCATGGGTTTTGGCTAATATGATTAGCATGGATGATTTATTTAGTAAGCTAGAATCAAGAAATGTTAATTTAATCGAGACAACAGAAGCTAAAGAAATAACAGTCCAAACTGATCCTAGATTAGTTGCATTCGGTTATTCTCATGAACAAGTATCATTAGTTTTAGCCCCAATGGCTGAAGGTAAAGAAGCTTTAGGTTCTATGGGTAATGATAATGCATTAGCTTGTATTTCAGAACAGCCTAAATTGTTATATGACTACTTTCGTCAATTATTTGCCCAAGTCACTAATCCACCTATTGATCCAATAAGAGAAGAAATTGTCATGTCTTTAGAGTGTTATGTTGGACCCCAAGGTAATTTATTAGAGATGAAACCTGACCAGTGTAATAGGTTATTATTAAAGTCCCCTATTTTATCTTCTTTAGAATTGAATGCTATCAAAAATATCGAGAAAGTTTATCCTAAATGGTCAGTTGCCAATATTGATATTACATTTGATAAAACTGAAGGCATTCAGGGTTACATTAATACAATTGACAATATTTGCCAAGCATCTTCTAAAGCTATTGCTGATGATCATCAGGTTATTGTTTTATCTGACAAGCTCACAAACTTTAATAGAATCCCAATCTCTGCATTAATAGCCACTGGTGCAGTTCATCATCACTTGGTAAGACAAAAACAACGTTCCAAGGTTGCCATTATTATTGAAACTGCGGAAGCAAGAGAGGTTCATCATGCGTGCTGTTTAGTCGGATATGGGGCTGATGGTATTAACCCATACTTGGCTTTAGAGACTTTAATTCGAATGAATGAAGAAAATTTGTTAAAAGCTTCCTTGACGGATAAACAGATTATCAAGAACTATAAGTTAGCTGTTGATTCAGGTATATTGAAGGTTATGTCGAAGATGGGGATTTCAACCTTGGCTTCCTACAAAGGTGCTCAAATTTTTGAAGCTTTAGGTGTAGACAATTCTGTTATTGACAGATGTTTTTCTGGTACTGCTTCAAGAATTAAAGGTGTTACATTCGAATATATAGCGCAGGATGCCTTTTCTTTACACGATTTAGGATACCCATCAAGAGAAACCATCAAGCCAGTTGCATTACCAGAGACAGGTGAATATCATTGGAGAGATGGCGGCGATTCTCATATTAATGAACCTGCAGCTATTGCTTCGATGCAGGATGCAGTCAAAAATAAGAATGAGGTCGCTTATGAAGCATACTCCAAGAAAGAGTATGAAGCAATCAAGAACTGTACTTTGAGAGGGTTATTAGATTTTGACTATGAAAACTCCCTGCCAGTTCCAATTGATCAAGTTGAACCATGGACTGAAATTGTGCGTCGTTTCTTCACTGGTGCGATGTCTTACGGGTCCATTTCGATGGAGGCCCATTCTACATTAGCCGTTGCTATGAATAGATTAGGTGGTAAATCAAATACTGGTGAAGGTGGTGAAGATTCTGCTAGATCTTTGGTTCATTCCAATGGTGACACTATGAGATCTGCTATCAAGCAAGTTGCGTCTGGAAGATTTGGTGTTACTTCTTATTATTTATCCGATGCGGACGAATTGCAAATTAAAATGGCTCAAGGGGCTAAGCCTGGAGAGGGAGGTGAATTACCAGGTCATAAAGTTTCTGAACAGATTGGTAAAACTAGACATTCGACTCCTGGTGTTGGTTTAATTTCTCCACCACCACATCATGATATTTATTCGATTGAAGATTTAAAACAATTATTATACGATTTAAAATGTTCCAATCCTAGAGCAAGAACTTCTGTTAAATTAGTGTCGGAAGTTGGGGTTGGTATAGTTGCTGCAGGTGTTGCCAAAGCTGGATCAGAGAACATTTTAATTTCTGGTGGTGATGGTGGTACCGGTGCAGCCAAATTAACTTCAATCAAATATGCTGGTTTGCCATGGGAATTAGGGTTAGCAGAATCCCATCAAACTTTAGTTTTGAATGACTTAAGAGGTAGAGTAATTTTGCAAACAGATGGTCAACTTAGAACTGGTCGCGATATTGCTGTCGCTGCATTATTGGGTGCTGAAGAATGGGGATTTGCAACTACACCTTTGATTGCATTGGGTTGTATTCTCATGCGTAAGTGTCACCTAAATTCATGTCCTGTAGGGATTGCCACACAAGATCCTGAATTAAGAAAGAAGTTTACTGGTACTCCGGAACATGTTATCAACTTCTTTTATTATTTAGCAAACGAATTGAGAAGTATTATGGCAAGCCTCGGGTTCAGAACCGTGAATGAGATGGTGGGGAGAACCGAGAAATTGAAAGTTAGAGAAGATTTAAGAAATACTAAGAATGCCAATATTGATTTGTCGCCAATCTTAACCCCTGCTCATACGATCAGACCTGGAGTTGCCACACATTGTGTCAAGAAACAAGATCATAGATTACATGTTAGAATTGATAACAAGTTAATCGATGAATCTGAAATTACATTAGCAAAGGGTTTGCCTGTTACTATTGACTGCGATGTCGTTAATACCGATCGTTCATTGGGAACAACCTTATCGTACAGAGTTTCGAAAACCTTTGGTGAACAAGGATTACCGCATGATACAATTCATGTCAATGTTAAAGGTTCTGCCGGTCAATCGTTTGGTGCATTTTTAGCACCTGGAATCACTTTGGAATTAGAAGGTGATGCTAATGATTATGTAGGTAAAGGTTTATCAGGTGGTAGAATCATTGTCTATCCTCCAAAGGAATCAAAGTTCAACGCCGAGGACCAAATTATTGCAGGAAATACCGCATTTTTTGGTGCTACTTCAGGTACAGCTTTTATTAGAGGGGTTGCCGCAGAAAGATTCGCCGTCAGAAATTCAGGTGCAAACATTGTTGTTGAAGGTACTGGTGATCATGGGTGTGAATATATGTCTGGTGGTAGAGTAGTTGTCTTAGGATCTACTGGTCGTAATTTTGCAGCTGGTATGTGTGGTGGTATCGCCTATGTCTTAGACATGGCACAAGACTTTGGGGATAAGGTTAATAGTCAAACAGTTGAACTCTCCCAAATCACAGAAGCTTCTGAAATTGCATTCGTGCGGGGATTGATTGAGGATCACCGCCATTATACGTCATCTGCAGTCGCCGATAATATTTTGAATAATTTCAATAGAATTTTACCAAGATTCGTTAAGGTTTTACCTTATGATTACAAGAAGGTATTAGAAAATGAAAAGAAAAAGCAAGAAGAAGCAAAGAAAAATGAGTTAAATACGTTCATAAAGTCTATTAAGGAGGATCCTGAAAGTGACGCAACTAATGGCGAAGCTGCGAAAATTAGGCAAGGCCATGTTCATCGCGCTAATCAGGCTACAGTATCAGCTAAGGATGGAAGTCATGAACCTAAGGTTTTAGATTTGGAAGATACCATTTTTGACACTGAAGTTGAAAAGAAATCTGTTGCAAAATTAGATAAATTGAGGGGATTCATGAAATACAAACGTCGTAATGAGAAATATAGAGAGGCCAAGAAGAGAACTAACGACTGGAACGAAATGACCTCGAGACTTACAAAGGATGAATTGAAACATGAGACTGCCAGATGTATGGATTGTGGTGTTCCATTTTGTACTTCGGATACTGGTTGTCCAATTTCAAATGTGATTCCGAAGTGGAATGAATTGGTTTTCCAGGATAGATGGTACGATGCATTACAAAGATTATTAATGACCAATAACTTCCCAGAATTCACTGGTAGGATTTGTCCAGCTCCATGTAATGGTGCTTGTGTCTTAGGTATTAACAGCGACCCCGTTAACATCAAGTCTGTTGAGTGTGCAATTATTGATCATGGTTTTGAACAGGGTTGGATTAAGCCAGAACCACCTCAAAATAGAACTGGTAAATCTGTTGCAGTCATTGGTTCAGGTCCAGCCGGGTTAGCAGCAGCTGATCAATTAAATAAAGCTGGACACCATGTGAAGGTGTACGAAAGAAGCGACAGACCAGGTGGTTTATTAATGTATGGTATTCCAAACATGAAATTAGATAAGAGAATCGTCAAGCGTAGAACAGATTTAATGTCGGCAGAAGGAGTTGAATTTATTTGTTCAACTACTATTGGCGAGGATATTACTGTCGAAGAATTAAAATCCTCGAACGATGCAGTTGTCTTCGCGGTTGGTTCAACCATTCCTAGAGATCTTAGAATCAAGGGTCGTGAATTGAATAATATCAATTTTGCAATGCAGCTCTTGCATAAAAATACTAAGGCTTTGTTAGACAATGATTTAGAAGAAATTAAAAAGACGTTAGAAGGTAAACACGTCGTTGTCATCGGTGGTGGTGACACTGGTAACGATTGCTTAGGTACTTCAACAAGACACGGAGCCAAATCAGTCACCAACTTTGAGTTGTTACCTAACCCACCAACGGCAAGACCAAAGGATAATCCATGGCCTCAGTGGCCAAGGGTATTTAGAGTTGATTATGGTCACACAGAAGTTACAGAGCACTACGGGAAAGACCCAAGAGAATACTCTATTTTATCGAAAGAATTTGTGGATGACGGCGAAGGCAATGTGAAAGGTATAAAGACCATTAGAGTTGAATGGAAGCGTTCAGATAGTGGGGCATGGCAAATGGCCGAAGTTCCAGGAAGTGAAGAATTTTTCCCAGCAGATGTAGTCTTGTTGTCAATGGGTTTCATTGGACCTGATGCTGATAATTTAGAAGTTACAAAGACCAAGAGAGGTACTATTTCAACAGTTGAGCCGAATGGATACAAGGTAAATAACGAAGACAACTTGTTTACTGCTGGTGACTGTAGAAGAGGACAATCGTTAGTTGTTTGGGGCATTCAAGAAGGTAGACAATGTGCCAGAGAGGTTGATAATTATCTTATGGGTTCGTCAAGATTACCAGGTAACGGATCAATTGAACAGCGTAATTTCAAATTGTTAGAAGAATTAGCTGAAAAAGTTTAACATTCGGAGATTATATATATGTATATAAATTGTTTGAGAGTTTAATAAATTTGACTGTATTTGTATTGTAGAGTAAAATAAATATAGTTTTCACACTCAGTATTCATACTTTTTGGTATAACTCTCGAATTGCTGCAAAACTAAAGAACTGTGATCAGTTGAATCTAAGCTAACGGGAAAATGCAATAAATATGACATGCGTAAGTTTTCAGACGGAACGAATTGAGTACCGATCAACTTTCTTTATATGGGCTTATCGCTTTAGTTTGGTATTCACGATTTTGTATGCCAGAACAGTTGACGTAAAGCAGGACCTGTTTCGCTTAAGACGAAGAGAGTGGGATACGTTCACATTAAGTTCAAATCAATGCAACAGGGGGTATTTTTTAGCTTCTATCCGAAAACCATTAGTGCATGGCAACCTGATCCGCTTCCTATCTGTTGAAGCCTGTAGGGCTACATCAGGTAGTTCCGGGCCAATTAAAGCGACTATTTGTTGGAAGCCATTCCCGTAATTCTATTTTCGGTTACTGCAACCGGGTAACAACTGGCCGCAGTCCCTGTACTATCTTTTGGCCCTCAGATGATTAGACACCAAGAGAATATATGAACATCAATATACATGTGAACTTAATAGTGAACTCTAAAAGGTGGTTTTTACGAACCTAAGGAACTCCTTAAGTTCCGTACATTTCTATATCTGTCGAATTAGGCGTACTATTTCACCAGCACCTTTACTTTTGATAAAATATAATAGTCCTTTCGTATAATTTTTGCTATGCCATTTACTTTTGAGCCATGCTATTATCTTTTAAATTCCAGAGCAATTTTGGCCATAATTAGTAGTCTATTTTCCAGATGTCTACATACGAATACTCAATAGAACCAATAAATATAAACGGGGCCATTTGCTACGCCACATTGTTTTCTTGTCGAAAAGTATCCCTTCATTTACGTCAACCGTACGATTAATTACTCTATTATAACCCCATGCCTCTAATAATGGACAACCAATTATCAGCCCTGAAATGCCTTGTACTGTATTAATCAATTTAGTGTGCACAGGTGAATCGGATTTGATTGTTTGTGCGAGAACGAACAATAGCAATATTTTTAGAATTCCAACATACTATTTATTAATTGCCAAATCAGGAAATTTTTTGAGACTCGGAATGCCCATCAAATGTACACACTTGAACTTTCGAATTGGGAATGTTGATACCGTTTACAACTTGCCGTTTCGATTCACCTACCGAGTTGAGATTCAAGTAAATATAGATGCTTCCGGCTTAGTACATACCAATAAAATGCAGCTTTTTGTGGAATGCTGATATGCCCGAAATGCCACGAGGCATATCATAATTTAAGGAGTACATCAATAGTAGTCTATGTTGGAGGGGTTGATACTAACCATAATTGTGAAATAGCCAGCATTCCCGGTAATACCCTCGTAATTGGAAAATGGCTTGGTTAAAGAACCCGGAAATAAGCGAAGGGAGTTTTTCATATTCTCAAAGGTAGCCGAATTAAAGGCGGATTTCCAAACCAAATAAATAGGGTACGCATCCCTTTCAAATCCAACTGATATAATTTTCTTTTTATACTGTTTTTCTACTAGTATTATAGAATAATAATGCAAATTAAAAAATTATTCGCCATTTCTGCTTTAAGTGGACTTGCACTCGGTGCTAATAGTAAGTACTTATTCAATTGAATACGGGACCAGAAAAAATGGGAATCTGATGATTTGACTCGAGGCTTGACAAGACGATAGAACTACAAATAAGATAGCATGTCTCAAAATTGGGAACTTAAACATTAAAGTTTAAAACCCGAAAATTTGGTATGCGAAGAGTTGCATCTGAAGGATGCTGACTTAATGAAGCTGTTCTTCGGCCTAAAAGTTCAAGTGATACTAGAATATGTTCAATTGCTTGTGCCTAATTCCTCAAATAGCTCGCCCATCGCCTATTATAGACATATATGGCATCAGATCACCAAACATTTTCTTCTCGGTTCGAAAATTTTCAGTTCCGGCGAACTTAGCCGATTTGACTTGTACACTACTAACATAATTTAGACTCAACCTTAACCACCGCTACTCCAAGTGTCAGTAAGGCATGTTCTTTCAAGGACTTCACTGCTACCAAGTCTGAAGATATTGCATCTATCGCTGCTTGTTCTACTGCTGTCGGTGACATCACTATTAAGGGTGATTCTTTCGGTTCCATTGAATTGAATGGTGTTGAGGAGCTTTATGGTAACCTTCACGTCAACAATGCTACTCAAGCCACCTCATTAAATGCAGCAACCTTACAATTAGTTTCCGGTAAACTTAATTTAGACGGTAACACCATCTTGGCCACCGTCAACCTTGCTCAATTAACCACTGTCGGTACCCTTAACTATAACGCTTTACCAGCTTTGGAACAGACTGGTTTGACTTCTGGTATCACTTCTGCCGATGAAGTTATCATTTCTGACACTGGTTTAACCTCCTTAGACGGTATTAACGTTTTCAAATTGAAGGTTTTCAACGTCAACAACAACGCTGATATCTCATCTATTGACTCTGGTTTACAAAAGGTCACTGATGAATTATCTATTTCTTACAATGCTGACAAGGTTGATGTTTCCTTAGATCAATTAGAAGAAGCTAACGATGTCTACTTACAATCGATTAACTCTTTGAGTGTTGCTAACTTAACTAAGGTTTCTAACTCTTTATCCTTAGATTCTAACGCTTTAGACAAGATAGAATTCAAGCAATTAAAGTCTATTGGTGACTCTTTATCTATCACCAAGAACAGTGAATTAGAAGAATTAGATTTCCCTAAGTTAGAAACTATTGGTGGTGCTTTATCCATCAGCAACAATGACAACTTAAACACCCTTGAAGGTTTCCCTAAGTTAAATACCGTCAGTGGTACTGTTAACATGACCGGTACTTTCGACAACGGTACTTTTGATTCCTTAAAGAAGGTTTCGGGTGCTTTCTACTTTGAATCTGATGGTGACATTTCTTGTAAGGAATTCAAGAACGTTAAGGTTAGTGGTAAGGAAAAGACTTCTTGTGCTTCTAAGTCCTCTTCTTCAAAGAAGTCCTCTTCTACTTCTAAGTCATCTTCTACCTCCGGCTCGAGCTCTAGCTCTAACTCTAACTCCGGTTCTGGTTCTAGCTCCAGCTCTTCATCCGGTTCTTCTTCAACCTCCAGTTCCGGTGCTTCCAACATTGCTGTTAAGATGGCTACTACTTTAGCTGGTGTTGCTTTAGTCGGATTAACCGTTTTCTAATCAATTTAACTCAATGTTTAATATGGGTTACAGTTTGACTCAATGTTTAAAAGAGATTTTCAATTAATTTTTAAATCTTAATAATTCATTTTTATTATCAATTCTTTTGCGCTAATTAATTTCAATTTTCGGTGCCTACATAGTTCTCTTTAAACATTTACATAGTAAAATATTTAATCTTATCATTTAATAAAATTGTAATAAAAATTAATTAAGTGGTTTTGTGTTATTTATTTATCGTGACTAGTTTATAGAATAATAAAAGGAAAATAATATACTAGTCTTGAAGTGATTACATGGTAACTAAATATGAAAATTTCAAATGTTTTATACGTATCTGTACTAGCCCATTTCGTTATGAGTAAGAATGTGGTTGATCTAGAACTGTTTAAGGAATCGTTACAAGAGGAGAGCCAAGAGAAGAGGGATGGTAAAAATGTTATTGACTTGAAACAGTTTGAAGCAAGTACACAACAAGATCAAGATGAGAAAAGGGAAGCAAAGAATGTCTATAACTTACAAGCTTTGAAAGAAGGTCTTGATACTGAGAATGAGAAAAGGGAAGCAAAGAATGTCTATAACTTACAAGCTTTGAAAGAAGGTCTTGAGGTTGAGAATGAGAAAACGGAAACTAGAAATGACAAAAGATCAATACAACATGTATTTGATATTGAAGGGCAAAATGTCCATCAAAACTTACTTCAATCTATTTTGCCTCAATTACAATCTATAACAGTATTTACTGGATACATAAGAGATGATCTGAGTTTAGCAAAAAAGACCGCTGATTCCTCACAGTCTATGATTATTATTGCTCCTTCTGACGATGCAATCAGTAATAAATTAAACAATTTAAAGCCTTGGGAATTTCCAACTGAGTTGACAGGAAATTCCGATGATGATAAGATAGTGAGGGAAAATTTGAAGAACTTTTTGAGTGGTCATGTTATTGTTGATTTCAAAGATAAGTTCGTCACCAACAATGATGAAATTATTGCAAACTTAATTAATGGCAATCAGGTTAAAATCAAACAAGAAGGAGTAGACAAGTTTAAAATTTCGACAGGCAATGATTGGATCAAAATTGAAATTGTTAAGCAAGTCGACAATGGGTATATTTTTGTTATTAACGATGTTTTAGTAAAGCCATAAATATAAACATATATATATATATATATGCGTTTTTAGTTCTTTAGGTTTGGATATATGTGATAGCTTTTTATTATAAGAAATGTAGAAAATCAATACATGATAACGCAGAAGTAAAATTCTGCGTTATCATGAGCATCTACATACTTATCATGAAAATAATTTATAAAACAGAATCTAATTACTCAAGAGACTAACACCGCTCTCCTCTTTATGCTCATTACCGATTTTATATTCAGCCTTCCATTTGACTTTCAATTGTTTATTCATGTTGTTTTCAATCGAGAATTCTTGAGTCACGCTTGGTTGATTAGTTCCATAAATGACGTCGCTTGACTGTGGCTTCAAGTTTAATTTACAGCTCTTCGGAACAGCGAGCATGAACTTGAAATTAGTCAATGGATTAGATTGCAAATTACTGAACAATAATTTTCCTGATAAATTAGTACTGGTGGACGAACTAAATATACCAGTCTCAATCTTCAAACTCGATGACTGGTTAATTAAATTAGTGGATTTAAAGGAGTTTTGATTTTGAACTTGGCTAGGCGTTGATGATGGGAAATTTAACCCGAAAGGATCTAATTGATTATTTGCTGAGCTCGTCGTATTTGATTGAAGCTGAGGTGAAGGAGAATTTAAACCAGACAATATATCGAAATTACTCAGATTTCCACTTGTTGGCAAAGGTTGTTGAATTGAAGTTTGCATATTACCACTGAGAGCAATTGATCCACCAGCCCCAAATAAGTTGGAATTAGTATTATCACCGGTATTGGTGAATTGTAAATTGGATAAATCACTTAATAAATCGTTATAGCCTTGATCATCACGACCAGATTTATCATTGCTTATTGGGGCGTCATCATCAAAATCAATTAAATTTAAGGTATCATTATTATTGCTACCGCTTTGAACTTGAATTTTAGATGCCTCGTTGATGTCACCACTTTTCAATAATTGGAACTTTTGAACCAATTGATTCACATTATCATTCAATGCCAACAATTCATTAACCTTGTCATCATCATCATGTTCTTCGATTATCTTTGTTATAATAGGCTGAGAACTTTTGACCGAAGAATATAATTCAATTACAGCTTCATTTGAATCGTCAATCTTAGCACATGATGCTTCAATGTTATGTAACATTTCTCCTAAGATTTCAACTTTTCTTTTTAATCTTGCGATATCATCAGTAACTTGCTTTTTGTTTTCTTCGATATTATCATCTTTGAAACCGGCCATAATCTTCATTAACTTGTTAGCTTCTTGTAAATCTTGTGGTCTGCCTCTTCTAATTAATTCTTGCAATTTAGCACTATGAACTATAGATTCCTCTTTTTGCAATTCTTCTAAAGATTTTAAATTATCAGATGGATTCAATACTGCAGCATCTTCCACTTTGACTTCAGGAAAGATATAACCCTTATTTGATAACAACCTGTGCATATCTCTAATATACCCGAAGTCTTCCTTATACTTAGATGTTTTACATATAGTCTGGTACCATTCTTCAAGCTGTGATAAAATTAAGCGATGTACTCTCGTATAACGTAAAGGTGGTCTTTCAGGGAACCTTTTAACCAATTCATTTAGGAATTCCTTACGGGAAATCTGCAAGTGGAAAGGATATCCACAATTTTTCACCAAATTATCCAACAATGAAATAGCTAACTCGGAGGTCTGGGAATCCCTTTGACTAATGAGCTTTGCCACTGCTATAGCTGCGTCACGGGGAGTCGATCCTTGTTTTGCGTTCACATAATCACAAATCTCTAAATTTAATGCTAAATTTGGCTCGTTAAGAGATGGCCTGCAAGCACGATCTATCACTTTGTTAGTACTCAATTGATGTCATAGATTATATGTAGCCATATCTATGTGGAAGTTATCGGTCCCTCTAAGATTTGATAAGATAATCGAGTAAGGGGCGATTCCATTTATACATACAAATTCTTCGTAACAATTTTGGATTAATCTTTGAAAGGGAGTAAGATCCAGATGAAGAACTCGATGACATTATGTAGATTGTCCAATGGTTATCAGTTATTCTTTTTAGATTATTGGTTCATAAAGAATCCTTGAGAAAGTTAATTTTGAGTCGAAGATCGAATGAATGAGGCGGAAAAATGAAATATGATTTCAATTTATATATATCAACACAGAACAAAAAAATGAAATGGATGATAAAGATGAAGACCCATTAGTACTCAAGAACTTGGCAGTTAATTTTGATTATTTGATGTACAAGATTAATGATCACATATCTAATTTGTCGGAGAAAGCACATAACGCAGTCAGTGCTAAACAAGATTTTGTTAACGAAGAATACCTACAAAAGCAACTCAATCTAGAAAAGGAACTTAATGAAATAGATATAATATTAAACAAATGTAATGAATTAGAGCTTGACTTCATGAAATTAGATCAATTGTATCTGTTTGTTGAAGATTTTAAATTAAGATTAGACTCACTTGAGCACGGCTTTAAAGAAGTAAGTAAATAGCAGGCTATTTTTTATACTACAATAATAAATACATAAAAAGATATAGGTGATTCTATAGTAGTCGCATATATGGCTTTTCGAAAGCTTTAATGCTAAACAGATTAATAACAAACAAAACAAAGGCATTTAGCAATCATTCGATCTTGCTTTATTCAAACAATCTGATGCCTATCATATTGTGTTTTATTGTCAATATTCGGATTACTTTCATATAATCCGCTAGTATTTGGATTACTTTCATATAATCCGCCAGTATTTGGATTACTTTCATATAATCCGCCAGTATTTGGATTATTCCCAAGTGTTTTCAGTTTAGTCGGATTTGTCGCCTGAACTGGTACAGCTGCATGTTTGGAGTATTTCTTCACCAAATATTTCTCTAAATTGATAAAATTTCTAGAATTGCATTTGTACATGATATTGATAAAGTCACCAACAATTGGAATTAATCCAATACCAAAATCAAAAGCAACGTTTGCCATCATTTTCAGATGTAATGATGCAGGTAATCCTCCCTCGATTTTCGAAGCTTTAGATACTAATCTGTAAGCAAACCAAGCAGCAATTATATCACCTATCCATGGTATCAATCCAATTATTCCTGCCCAGCCGAGTCTTAGGCCACATACGCTTAACTGCAAGTCTAATCTATATGCACTTTTCTTAAATGATTCCAAGATTAATAAATCATGTTTTGGAATGAATTGCGGTAACTTTCTCTTTCTTCTTGCACCTTTACGTTGGTAAAAATGTAAATCTTCTTCAGGAATCTCTTCAAAATATGGATCCTCGTCTGGTCCTCCTATATTCACGATATGATCGAGTTCTGTCTTTGTCTGTTAGTGTGTCCATTCAGAAATGTTTGACATATTGAAATACATACCTTTTTCAAAAAATATTGATAAAGCAAATTAGACATTCTGATAATCAACTAAATAAAAAATTCTAATGATACAACAAGTAGTTTATTTTTAATGTTTTTATTAAGTCTGTTATTTTATAAGTGCTTAAACTTGAATATATAAAAGAAAAGATGGAAACTTGCTGCAATCTAAAATTTGGAATGATCCTCTGTCCGCGCCTACTTGAGAAGATCGATTCATCACTAGCTATTGTTATCTGCACATGCTATAAATCATAACAGTATTAATTGTAAGTATACATAAGTTACGCAAAATACATATAAAATGCTTCAAATTAAACCTTCTTCTTCTTTTTCAATTCTCCGAAGTACTTTTTTCTTAAGTTTCTCAAATCAGGAGGTTGTTCAATTCCCATTTTATGTCTGAATTCATTTATATCCTCTTCTAGTATCTTTTCCCAATAAACGTTGATTAGAGGTTTTGAATTAAGACCACTTTTGAATCCCCAAGGATAGTAAATATTATATAAGCGTTCTTTTTGACTAGGCTTTAATCTCAAAGGTGCAAATAAAGCTCCTAAACCAGACATGGGAATTCCAATGTTCATAAATTCTAATAGCTTAACTGCAATCTCTCCTTCTATTATTATTGGTAATCCAGTTATGGAATGATAGAAATCATGGCATTCTCTATATCTTTGGTAAATGTATGCCAATTCTTCATCGTCAATATATTTCACAGGAACTCTTGTATCAGGGCTAACCCCTTCCCTATCCAACCAATTGATATATGTCTTGCCTATGGTGTTATCTGGTAGTTGTCTGAGTTTTTCTAAATCTAATGACGTTGATGTAATTCTTGGTCTTTCTCTCAATATTTGACGACCAACTGGATCTGATAACATTTGCGTTTGCAATTTGGTTAAAACGGGCTTTATTGCAGTAGACTCGCCTAGAGCAACTATAAATTCGTTTCTTTCAGGATGTAAATATGCACCAAGTGATGAACCAGCAATCATCAACAATTTTTCAAATGTAAATAATGGAACATGTCCTGGATAATTCAGCTTACCTCGTGAAAAATACCTACTTTCTTGAGCTTCTATTGCTTTGTTAAATATAGCGTTGGCATCTTTATAATGTAATTGGCCCTTTTCCATCTTATTGGCCAAGCGATTATTCTCATTCATCATCATTGACCCTATGAGAGTAGCCGCTGCCGTAACTAAGAAGTGTCTTTTTTGGCTTATATTAAGCGACGAAATAGAGCGATGCTCTATTCCCTTACAGGCTTGCAACACATTCATATTGCCTGCTTTTAATTTCAATTAAATACAATTCTTACACCTTTGATTAAATTTAGTGGTATGAGTTGTAGTGTTCTTTAATTTTATATACAGGTTCGGTACAAAACAGTATATTATATCTATTTATTCAGCTTTAGCTAGATAGTCTTTGAAATACGTTTACAAATAGTACTATTGATAATCCGAATATTATGCCCCGATTCCTCTCTATGCTCTGAATAACTAATGCAAGGAGTGTGAAATATAATGCAATTGCGATCTTGTCTTTTAGTGGTAAAAGCTGCAACATTGAGGAAAAAGATCCTATTTTACGATCAATTCCTTGGTCTCGTGAACTAATTGATCGGTCTGACTCTATGCTTGATGGATTATTGTTAGTATAGGGTGTATTCCTTGAAGTTTCCATTTCTTTATCTAGGATAGGAGGTGTTGCTTCTGATTCAATTTCACTCTTCTCTTCCTTTGGGGAATCCATAATCGAACAATCTTTATCCTTTATATTAGATAAAGCAAAATTGTTAGAGTCATGAACCTTTTGATTTTCTAATGAAGATATTATTTTTTGCCTTTTATCATCATTGCTAGTCATTGATTTAGTTGTTTCTGATACAAATTTACCATTAGAGTTGATGTAATCGAAATTCAGTGAAGGCTTCTCGGTATTAGATTCGTTGGTCTCAATCAAGCCCTTAGTATTGTCATTCGAATCTTCTCCATGCAATTTATTAATTTCATTAAATTTCTCATTTAATGCGTGTTTCTCATTCGTTAAAGCTGTTACCTCCTTACGCAATTGGTCGACAAGTTGGGTAGCTTCTTCTTTATAATTCTTATGCTTATCTTTCGATTCTTGTGTTTGAGATTTCTCTTCAGATATCTGATCTTCAAGTTTCCTTAGCTTGCTTTCGTATTCCTGTTTTAAGTAATTAGAATTAAGCTCATTCAATCGTGCTTGATAATCTATTATGAACTCTTCCAATGTAGCTAGCGTATGGTTTTGTTGCTTGATTTTGGAAAGGTTTGTTGTTAATACTCTTATTGCACTATCTAAGCTACTTGCATTCGTAATTTGTGCGTTATTGAATATTCCACAATTTCCACTGGGATTTAAGCCTAATAATTTATCCTCTAGATTTGGATTTATATCACCAAATAAAGCATTTTCGAACGATAGGTGCAGCCCATTAGCCCTGGCAGCCTTTTTTTTCGGGATTTTAGAAATTATATCTTGAATAAAATTATAGTGTTTGAATTCTGGTGTATCCATTGTCAGTTGATTTTTAAAATTGAATGAAGATGGTATTGTAGAAGATGAAGTATAAAAATTTTGCATCACATTAATATTTTCTACTTTAGCACTTATTTGTTTATGGTTTGTATCCGCTTGTATATTGAATCCCAAATAGATAATGTCCCCAATCTTAATTTCTACAGGCTCATTACCAATTCGTTCTTCATTCACGTACGTTCCATTAGATGATCCTAAATCTTTTAACATCAATTTGCCATTAGATGAATCAATAAACATAGCAGCGTGACTTCTACTTAGTACTCGTGAATCAAAGAATCCATTGGTTATGTCCGGCTTCACTTTCGATCCAGCCGGTCTACCAAGTTTTCTTGTTTCAGGAAAATATGGTACCAGTAACTGCTTCTTAATGAATGTATCATTTAATGGAGTTAAAGTTACGAAATATAATACATGATTTCTTTTGTTTGGTTTTTCCTTACTTCGGCTCAGTGCTGTCGGAGTAGATATTACTTGTGACTGTGAATTTGATCTCCTTCTGTTAGCAACTTCGTTATTTGGTGATACATCATTCAGATTACCTCGATTTTTTGTAACTGATTTTTGAACGTCTAAATGAATAGGTAGATAAGTGTTAGTCATGACAGTCTATTAGTATCATCCGTAGACACAATGCTTTAAATGAAAATTGTATAAGGTTTAATTATCAGTTGATTTTTATCACCACAATTTACGCGCAATGATAAAAATTCAAGTTTGAAGTTTTTAATCAAAACAAAACATTGAATCATCGATGGCTGACAATGTCTCATAGTTATAATAGTTTATCTAATTGCATAAGTTCATTGAGTGCATCTGTAGCGCTACTTAACGACTCTCTTAAGACCATAGATAATGCCACAAAAGATATACCACGGTTAAAAAAGGTATTGAGCACGAATAAGGTATTCGGTTTAGTCCCAGAACTGGATTTAGAAAGTGCTAAAAGGAACATTCAAAATGAGGTGCAACCACAGATAAATGCACTAGTCTTAAAAATAGAGAAAGAATTGAATAAGATCAAGCGAAGAAAGACTAATTTGGCAAGCAAGGTTGATCTCCAGCAAGTACGATTAGAGAATGCCGCTAAAAGTAATAGAGATTCCTTAAGTGGTATTAAAGGAATCAATGCCAATAGGATATCTAAAGGGGATATTGATGAACTGAAATTAGCGAGATTGAAATTATTACAAAATAAGAAAGAACGCTTGAAATACAGTTTGTCAAGACTAAATCTACAAGATAAAAAAGCAAGATTAAGTACCATCCCCTCACTACCACCACAGAGAGATTCGTCGTAAAGTACGAGTCTTAAATTGTACACTAGTGTAAAATATTATTTTCATCTATTACTATATATAGTTGAAATAAAATTATAATTTTAAGTCTTCTCCACTCATATGCTCGACCGTCGTTATGTTGAGTAACTTCGCTAATTCTTTCGCATACTGAAACCCTGCATCTTTAATAGAAACATCGGTCTCAGGTTTCAATTTTTTAATGGAAGTAGCAGAAACCCCGGGCAAACCACACATGGTAGAAGTATTGAGGAATTTTAAATCTGGAAAAATGTTCAAAGCGATACCGTATGATGTAATGGCTCTTTGGATATTACAGCCGACAGACGCTATCTTGTGATCTTTTTCTGATATAAAAACTCCTGGATTTTCGTTCGTGAAACTTTCAAGATTATAATTCTTTTTTAGAGTTTCTTTGATAGCCTTCAATAAAACCGAATCAACGAAGCATTTAACAGATAAATTCAGAAATTGTTTTAAATCTAAGATGACATATGCTACTAATTGACCTTGACCATGCCAAGTCACCTGGCCCCCTCTTTCTAGCTGATAAAATTTACATCCCATTGCTTCATATTCTTCAATTTTTGAACTTATTTCCTGATCTTTTTTCATTTTCTTGCCTCCAGTATAAACATTCTCGAACTCGAAAGTTAACAAAGTTGGGAAAGGTTTCATATCAAGTATTTTTTTTAATAAATTATCTTCGTATTCATTCAATTGATAGCCTTGTGATGCTATCTCATTTTGCTGCTTTTTGATCTTTGATTCTAGTTTCTTGAAATCTAGGTTGGCATTCACCATAGCATTTTGAATTTTTTGGCCTTCTGCGAATGGAGTAATACCTGGGAAATGAATATGTCTTAAAGTCTTGTAATTTTCACATAGCGGCGAAAATTTAGTAACACACTTGGTGCTACTATATCTCTTAATTAGTATGCTGCTTGTACCTAAAATGCATTTCCCCATAATTCTTAGATTAATGTATGCAAATCTTTAGTAGATGAAAATTGTGTGAAATCTTAAAAAACATGGTATCGTGCAGGTACTCAAATTGGCCTCAACATGGAGAATGCTTTAGTTCTATATCTATTTTATATATGATGGCACTGGAACTGTCTCATACAAGATCGGAAGCGATCAATAGCCATGTTAATTCCCGAAGCCTTAAATATGGAAAGAAAAAAGTCAATTCGATTCCAAGCATTGTGAATACTGCTGTAAATAAATCGAAAGTTGGATCGTCAGAATCTTTACCTTTGAAACAAGATCAAATAGTCAAGACCAAATTTACTGTAACAAATGAATTAAAACATAAAGTAAGAAAAAATAAGGGAACTCATGAGCCAATTATTGATACCCCTGAGTTCAAACTACTTTGCAAATTGTTTGTACCATCAAAATACCTTATACATAATGATAAGATCGCCATAAAGCAATTATCTAATCATTTGCCGTTGATAATACCAGGAGACATAGAGTTAAATAAACCCCGCCAGAGATTAAATTTTGAGTTGCATCTTTTTCTTTCCTCCATTGTTACACATTACATCACGTCGTGGTATTTAAGTAAACTTAACACGGATAATCTAGATTTCATAAGAAATGTATATAATATGCTATCCGAGTTTTCAAAGGACTTCATCAAGAGACTCGATTGCATGTTTCTGAATGGCTTATTTGCCTTAATTAATGAACTTTGCGTAATACTAAATGATCATATTAAAGAGATAGCTAGTGATTCCACTAGCACTCATGATATCAAACTTTTAGATGATTATCTAAAAAATAATATTAACAGAAATACTATTAAAAATTCATATAAGGATGAGAACGAAATAATGGAACAATATTTAACTAGTAAGCATGTAATATTTGAAAATAGAGGAATTCAGATGCCAGTGGAAACGACACTAGGGATACAACAATCTGAGGATTATAGAATACAGTATTTCAGATTAATTGCAAAGGAACTCCTTACTGTATCGTTTAATTCAGATATTAATTATGATGCTACAAGTTCGGCATCACCTTCAACGTCACACATAACAATGTCCTTGCTTATAATACTAGTGGCCGACCTTATATTAGATAATATATTTAAAAAAATATCTTCACCTCAATTTGTGTTACAAACAATCTTAAATGATTCATTTGATATGATAAACGAGTCGTTGTATAAGAAAGAAAATGATGAGCTTGAAAATAAACAGGGACTTCGAACTATACGAAGCGTGATATATAGTGGCTACAAGAATATCACTCGTATTATGATCAGCATGCAACTCATATCCGAGGCTTACGAACCAGGTAATAGTACAAATATTTTAGAAAATTGTCTTTTCCAATTAATTGATACCATTACGAACTTCTCTACGAGAAAGCCTTTGCTTGCAAGTGTTTTTCAATTTATGAAAAGAATTATTTTGGCGAACAAAAGAACCTCAAGAATGTTTGACTCCTTCTGTAAATGGTTTCTTTATAATCAACTTGCTAGAATTCTTAATGATGAATTTGGTTGCAAATTACTAAAGACTTTGCGAGAAGGCATATTTGAAGATAATGACGACGAAAATGATGATGAAAACAACGAAGAACACAAAATTAATATAGATAGCCTTACTTCTAAAATCTATGAATTTTTGTCTGATCAGTTACCTAACTCAATATTCTGTGGTAGTACGGTTGTCAACTCTTTCAAATTTTCCGATGAGTCAGACGACGATTTTAAAAGCTCTATTCACAAGTTTTTACTAATCTTCAATTACAATGTTTCTTCGATGGATAATAATTTAATTAACGAAGCATGCCTCTTGAATCAATTACTTATTATTCAATGGATAGACTGTATTCTTTCGACTTTATACCCAGAATTAGTGAATAAACAAGCCAATTCTTAATATGCAGGGTTGATATGAGAATTTGATAATTTTCGAATTATATCTTATCTTTTTCCAACTACTAGGATAGGAATAGTATTTAATAAATACGTATTTATAATTTGTACCATATTAATGAGTTCTACGGAAAACATACAATTCATTAATCACATTTTGAGGGATAAAGAAATATACAATTATGTGATACATTTAAAAAGAGTGAACATTAGAGACGGCGACGACGAGGCGATCAAGCTTTTGAATACCTTGGAATTGTTCGCATTTGGAGATTACCTGAATTTTCTTTGCTATCATAATCATTACATAACTCTCGATTATTTGTTATTAATCAAGTTAATCAGGTTAACAATATTATCTGCTGCAACGCAAGAAGGACTGACAATCAAAATAGATAGATTGCTTGCTGGCTATAAATTAGGGGCGGCAATTGAGCATTATATTGAAATCACAGGTGATAATGTTTCCAAGGAGCTAATGCTTGAGAAAATATGTATTGATATGGTTGATGATTCAATAATTGAAATAAAGTTCGATGATGTAGAAAAAACTATTCTCATAGGTAAAACAAACACAATTCGAGATTGCTTTGACGCTAATACCACAGTTCTAAGAGTTTTAAAAGAGCAAGATATATCTGGCAAAAATTTATCTAATGCGTTAAAAAGTTTGCAAGGATGGTATGAAGAAAACCTAGATCCAACTAAGAAGGACCTAGATACCCAGATAGATAATATGAACAAAATGCAGTCAAAGGATATAAACCTCAGAAAGAGAAAGCCATCTGATAACTGTTCAATTTAATGAATTCTACGAAAACATTTTTTTTTTAATTTATTAGAAGGAATATATAATGAAAGAAATAAATGAAACAAAGAGCAAATGACACAAGACAATTGCTTGCTCTGTATATATAATATTACTACGTGGTCTTAGTTTGGATCGTCGCTTCCTAAGCTCATGCTTTCCAAAGCTTGGATAAAATAGTAGAAACACCACCTTCTTTAGTTTCTATTTCGTAAATACCGTATCCTGCGATACCAGTTCCAAAAGTTAATAAATACATGCTGAAATTGAACAAGGGACCGTAAACTCTCTTTGGAATATAATCAATAATACAAGATTGGAACCCAGTGTAACAATGGTATAACAAGAAACCCGACATAGTTGAATCAAGAAGGGTTGTAGCACCAGTGAGGAAAGGCGCCAATACCAATGGAACCAAACCAATAGCTACAGCTCTTTCGCTTGTCCAATGTAAAGAACCTTCAATCTTCTTAGGTGCTGGTGGGACGTAAGCATCATTCACGGTACCAACGATATATCCCGGAGGTTGAGGAATAGTTTTAATACCACGCACTAAACATGGTCTCAATAAGGATTGTCTAGTAGATGTTAATCCAACACGGCTGTATAATGATAACATTTTAATGGTTCTTAATTATAGCTAGTCAAATATAAATAATCTCGATACTGGTGGTTTTAAAGTCGGTTAATATATATGCCCCGGACTGTATTACACTTGAGGTAATTATTATTGGTTGAAATTTCATGTATTTTGATTACATAATCACTGTACAAATTCAGAAAAAAATTACTGAGACCTATATACATGTATATACAGCTTGAATATTGGAAGTACCATCATTCTATTCTTTATCTTCATCTTCGAATTCTTCAATCTCCAATATAGGTTGAGGACTACCGAATCTTTCTGATAACGATTTTTCTATTATGCCAAGAGGGCCCTTATTGTAAATTATCTTGCAGAAGCGGTTGATAACATTATCATACCATGAAGATTCATTTAATTCGAAAATTGACAATTCACCAAGCAATTTTTCACATCTCTTTATTGACCTGACATCTTTGATATCTTCATACATTATAATCAAATTACGTAAAACACTTATCAATATAGGCGACGCCCTTGTTTCACTACTATGAACGAAATAAATCTCCTCTACCACATCTTCGCCCCAGGATATGGCATTCTTCTTGTAGCCCTTTGCCCACATAATTTCAGCAACATGAGCTTTAATCTCAGCTATTACCATCTTCATATTGTTTGGATCACAATTGAACAATGGATAGCTAGCCTGATTTTGTTCTGAATAAGTGATAGATTGTTGTACCAGACTTAACTTTTTAAGGTTAGCCAAATATATATTTAGCGCCTTCAGTAAATATAAATCCTTTTCCTTGCCATGGGAAGAACTGGCCTTTGCGAATGTAAATGCTAATCCATTTAAGCATGAAACTAGTTCATCAGTAATTCTAGAGTTGTCTTGGATTAAATAGTTTTCGTCTAAAACTATTGAGGAAAAAGTAGATCTGAGCATATTAATAGACCTATCTAAATACGCTACTTTATCTTCATTTCTAGGGCAAACCTTGCTAAGTAATCTGCAACATTGTGATAATCTTTCTGCATCACCTAGCTTATAGAAAAGCTCATCGTCGTCTATTATTTCCTTTAACACGTATATTGACGTATCCAACTCACCTTTTGCAAGTAATGCTTTTGCATACCTCAATACAATATCAATATAGAAGTTGGCAAAATCATTTGACTTCTCGTAAACTAATACGGACGAATTAATGATTGGCACCATGAATCTATTTTGTTCTGAATATTCATCAAATTCTAAATTTGGATCTTCTGCTCTAGCCAACTCAATTAGCAATCTTCTATAATGTTTGACTGCATATCTAGGACTCTTCAAGACATCATCTTTGTTGATAGCCTTGACTGTAGTCATTTGATTTTTGAAGCTTAATTCAAACGGTATATGCTGTCTATCATTAGCATCCAGGTATAATAAGTATAACAGACCAAAGCAGACTAATAACCCCCCAATATAAGCGCCTGCTATTATATTTATGACAAATCCCCATCCTTTAACTGCACTGAGCTGAGATGCCGATAGCTTTATAGATCTGTATTGAATTAAAGGGGCACGAATAGGTCTTTGTATATTAATATTACTAGTCCTAAAAGAGCTGTATATTCCGCTTCTAGTGAAGCGTCTAATCTGTCCGCTGAACATGTCTGAAGTCCTATACTAACACTGATCGTTTAAGATGTCTGTTCTTTTCATTATCGCTTATAGAAGACATTTATTACACAAAAAAGTTAAAAGTAAAGTCTAACCAAAATAACGGTAAATGATAATATAATTTCTGCCTATGAAACATAATGAATCGACGAAAGGGATATACGACTAAATCCGTTACCGAAGATGCTACATCCAAGGCAAATGTATCATTCTTATACAAGTTGGTTACAAATTGGTTAATTACTGACCCCAGCTTACGCATCCCAGACTTGCAAAATAATGTAAACATCAAGAACTTTCAGGTGCAAAAACACGAAAATGTCCAATTTATATATTTGTGTGGAGGAAGACTAAGGACCGTCAAACAAAAACCAATCAATGTTCTAACGGGTATACTGATATTAATTCCAGGCATTCTATTTTGGATTTTTGAGGCAAAATGGGTATGGTTTCACGTAAATCCGTCCATAGTCATATTGTTTAGCTACTTTTGGCTAATAACGATATCGTTTTTTATAAAATCTTCGATGTCTGATCCTGGAATGTTGCCTCGTAATATTCATGTTCCTTATTCTGTGAGTAATGCAAGTACGGCTTCTAAAGTGAGCCCACCAGACGAATATTTTAATATTATTTCATTACCATATAATGCAGAAGATCATAAAGGCGTTGGTTTGAAGTATTGCACAACCTGTCACATTTGGAGACCTCCCAGGGCAAGTCACTGCTCGGTTTGTAATTCATGTATCATCAACCATGATCACCATTGCGTCTTTTTAAATAATTGTATTGGCTATCGAAATTACAAATACTTTTTGTGGTTTCTATTATTTGCGGTTATAGGATGTACACTCATGTCTGTGATATCGTTCATTCACATATTCTATTATCGGTTGGTCATAGATTCATCAGTATCAACTTTTCGCAGCTCGATATCTAAATACCCGGTGAGCTTCCTTCTTTGCATTTACAGTCTTTTGGCTTTAGTGTATCCATTACCATTATTAATTTTCCATATATTTTTGACATCATACAATTTAACTACTAGAGAGTATTTGAATAATATCAGAGGTGTTAAAAAGCTGCAAACACACTTTACTAACCATTTCGATACTCATTCAATTTTTAAAAATCTTTATATAAATTGGTTGGGCAGGGCGAGAGGCTTTTCTTTAGTAAGGCAAACTGACCTTTATCAAATAGGCGATCTAAGATTTGAAAAGCTTGATCCTTTGCAATCATTTCTGTAACATAAATCACTCCTGTATAGGCGCGTAATTCAATAAATTTATACTGATCTAAAATCTAAATCTACCATTTAAGTTGGCGGCTAGCTAAGAAAAAGTATCCTGACTGTAGTAAAACTTACTAAGGATTGTTTTATTTTAAACCTATATATTGGTGTGTCACTAACAGTCATTCTAGAAGATTTAACACAGAACCGCTGGCAGGCGTTGTTGAAATATTTCACTAATGACGACCGATAAGTTGCATCCGACTGATTTAAGAGAAGGCCTAGGTACAGTTCCACTACTTCACCTACTACCGAAGCAAGACTTGGCTCCATTGGTATCATTTAATACGATAGATGCGGTATCGAGTGATATCGAGGAGAAAGAGCTCAATTCATCGTCTGTTGCCTATAAAATGAGATCTGCGATGAATGATGATCCAGGTTATTTTAGTAAAGTGATTGACTATTTAGCAGAAGACTTCCGTTCCTTTGAGGACAACGAGCTAGATGATATTACTTTCAAGAAACCAATTATAGCAAAGAATGATCTACTAGATAGGAAAAAGATCCCTGCATTTCCGCCATTTGAGAAAAGGCTATTTGAAGAGATGGGTGATGTTGACGACTCTTCTATAAAACACGGTACTAATATTCTGGACATATCACAATTAGATAAATCGGAGCTTTCAGTTCAAGATGATTATGATGCAAACGATGTTTTATCTATTCAACAGCATAATGAGAAATACAACCAGAAATTCGAAGTTGAGAAGAAAAAGATGGACGATCAAAAGGCATCCCGTAAAAATGTTAAGCTTTCTGATGCACATTCATCGGATCAGAGTAAAAGGCTATTCGATGATTCAGATGCAAGTCCTGCGCAGCAGATTAAACGATTTCAAAAGACGTCATTCTTGGAAAGAGATCAACTCAAAACTAGAGCTTGTGAAGATTTAATAGGATTCATTAATGATGTTGGTTTAATTGATGAATGTACCAATGGCAATAAGTACTTTTTTATCCATGGTGAAAGCAAACTATTAAATACCGAGACGCTAGTTTTTGTTTTAGATCGTTTATTGAGAATTCAGAATGATCATGTCATTGACCAAATAGAACTTGAATACTTAATTAGAATCGAAAAACTTTGTGTTCGATCTATCAATGAAGGAATACTGACCCACTGGAATGAAGTAATTGAATTTATTGATGTTAATAGTTTTGAAGAATTCATGAAAAATTATGATGATTTACGGAAATTATTCGAGCTGGCCTTGAATGGTACTATTGCAGCAAAGATAATTTTGCTGGTACTTAATAGCAGGAGGAATAATAAGCAATTGTTTTTGGACGAATATTTCAGGTCAATCATTGACTTAGTTTACGTATTAGTCCAAGAAGTAATTGTTCCTTTTGCGAGTAGAACAATACCCGATGTTCAAGTGCTAAATATTTCAAGAAGTTTTGTTTCAGGACTACTTAATGACATCTGCTCAATCAAAAATATGATATCCAGTCATATTGAAAAAAATGAAGTTGACGAATATCTATTGACAAGACTTGAATACCTATCTGTCATTATAATTTTTGCAGACTCGACTTTAAAAGAAAAAGCATCAATACTTGGTGTGAGTAATTTTGATAACTTGAGAGTTTGTTCGTGCAAGGTCCTTACATGTATTTTTAAGTACCGTCCAGACCAGAGACAGTTTATTTTAAACGAAATTCTATCAAACTTCGATAAATTACCGACGCAGAAGGTTGCAGCTCGGCGTTTCAAATTAAATAGAGGTGGTAATATTCAACTTACAACTGTATTGCTATTGAATTTGCTACAAAGCTTTGACGTATCGAGATTTTCTCTGGATGCGAATGAAGCTAGGGAAATGAACTCTGATGAGAAATACAACTCATTTGTGGAAAACAAAAGAAAGGGTATCATTGAAAATGTTTTCTTGTTGCACGAAGAGGTTACAAGAGTATCAAATGACATTGCTGCTTTTTTGATGAATAAGTTATATAACAATCCTGATAGTCAACAAAAGCAATATCTTGAATTACTTTTGGAAGATTTACTTGCGGTTGTAATATTTCCTGAATGGCCATCTGCTGAAATTTTACTTGTATCCATCTTTAAAGCATTACTATATGTTATACAATCAGGATCATATTCTTCACAGATTGAAACTTCTGCGCTAGAATTAGCTGGATTGATTGGCACTAAAATCTTTGAGTTGAAACAATCTTATACTGGTGTTCATCAATTCAATATTAATTCCACCAATGAAGATATTATATTCTATTCCGGATGCTTTATGGATTCGCTAGAATACGTGCAATTGCAATCTATGAAAAATAAAGAGTATATTACAGCTTTCAGGTTTTTAGTTTTGAAATTTATTTGCCGGCTTAAAATCATTGTTCAGAATAATGGCCATAAGAATACAGAAAATCAATTAGCTGCATTGAATTCTGACAACGATAGTTCTTCTCAACTGGCCACAGTTAAGCATGATGTGAATTTATTATATGGTCGTCTTTTAGATATTTTAGCTGACGATAATATTAACCTTAACCAAACCTTGAAATCAAATATGGACTCCCAGTCCATATCTTCATATTCACAAATATTATTAACCCAGGAACTACTAGGCCTTTTCGATAGTTTTCTTAATGTGATGGTTAACACATTAGATAGTACAAAAGTCAAATCAAAAACTAAAGCAATAAGAACTTTGTCATCATTGATTGATATTGATCCTACATTGTTAGTATCACCTAAAATACAGGAATCTGTTTCTAAGAGGTTATTGGACTCCTCTCCTTTGGTTAGAGATGCAGTTATCGATTTGATTAGTAGATTTATGCTGTCGAAACCAGAAGTAATTGATCAGTTTCATAAGCCTATATGTGATCGTTTAAATGACGAAAGTATTCAAGTGAGGAAACGCGTAATTAAACTTTCAAAAGAAATGTATTTGAATACAGATAATATATCAATTAAAAGTCAAATATCTATGAAAATTTTAAGAAGATTAGACGACGAGGATGATGTAATGGCAAATATTGCAAAGTCTTATTTGCTTGACTTATGGTTCACTTCATTGGCGGATGAAGCAAAATCATTGGATTTGGGGCATCTTCTGACAGCCACAGCGAAAATAGCAGATGTTATAATGGAAGTTACAAGCATTGGAGGAAAAGCTACAGCATTTTTTGAAACATTCTTAACAGAATATGTTCTATGTAATCCTGACCCTAGGGTGATGCAGACTGTAAGATTAATCATAGATCAAACTTTGGATAGAATAATTGATTGTGTTAATACTAATTCCGAGACACAAATTGTGAAAGCATTAATTCTTATCTCCACATTTGTAAAATGTGATGGTAAGTTAATGACTCAAGATCAACTAGTTTCATTACAACCTTATTTAGTAGATGAAAAAAATTCAGGAGAGCCTATTTGCTTCTATAGTTTGCAAATACTTAAGCATGTCCTTCCTTGTTTTGCAGCATTAAGACCTGCATTTGTTGATGCTGCCCAGACATATTTATTGCGTCGGCTCACCAAATTTAACGTAAAAGAGCTACATGAAGCTATGCCTTGTGTTTGGAGATTGTGCTATATGAATAAGGATACAGTCAAACTAGCGAACGCATCAATTTCGTGTATGAAACTTATAAAGCCATTTATTGATTTATCCAAAAGAGACGAAAAGATAGATTTCAATACTAAATTACATAAATTGCTTCATCTACTTGGATGCTTTGGGACATATTGTAAACTTGAGAAGCATAGGGAAGTATACATAAAAGCCCGCGTTGGCTTGAAGGAAAACGAAACAGTAATTAGTGTTATTACAAAGTTTTTATTATTTTTTTGTGGGTCTACCTTTCTGTCCCAAATCAAAAAAATTGCCATCAAGAATATCATAAGCGTTTGTTCTACTCATCCAAAATTGTTTATGTCTGATGCTATCTTAAAAATTCTAGATCGTGAATTTGATGATGTTGACGTAGATATCAAGCGCACTATTATTCAAGGGTTTATGGACTTCCTAAAGAATGAGGATAACAATTCAAAGAAACTAAATGGCGTTCAAACAAAATCATCTACTGAAATAAAATTAGATGTTGCAGTTTTTCATGGTGATGCTAAATCATATGTAAATGATGGTATCTGCGCGGGTATAATTCAGAGATATTTGGAAAAGATTTTAAAGTTTTGTCTTCAAGAATCGGACGAATTCGCTATATTACCTGTTCAGTTTGTTCAGTTAGTAATTAAGCTAGGTTTTGCAAATCCAAAAATTTGTATTCCCTATATAATTGCCTTGGAGTCAACAACCAATCCACATATCAGACATATCGCTTTTGAACTACATACTGAATTGTTCGAGAAACACGAATCATTAACTGATTCGAGTTATCTAGAGGGTTTAAAATTAGCGGTAGCTTATAGAAAGCGTACGGCTAGTAATGTGTATCAAGAGAGATTCTTCATAAGTAATTTGTATTCCATTGTAAATGGGAATTATTCTTCAAGAAAAAAGCTCATATTGTCTCTTGCCAAAGCATTTAACATCAACCTTGGTTTTACAAAATTGGAGGATAACACATTTCAAAGAGATACCATAATTTATACTGCGTTTAACATCGCAGCCATTCATTTTGCAACTTTAGAAGAAGTATTCATATTAATATGCAAAATTGATAAAGTAATATCTAGAGAGGGCTTGGATTTGTCTGATAAAATATTGAAAGAGACGAATTCTGATTCACTGAATACTCAGTCTATTGCTTACTTACGCAATTTATGCGTAAATGCCCAAACTTTAATTGCATTGATTACTTTCCGAAACCATTTAGTTGCAACACATAGTATAACCGATAATCAGATTGAAAATTATAAACCGAATAAAACTGAGATAGAATTAAGACAACCCCCTAAGTTAGTTAACGAAATTCCATTGTCTATTGAGACTGAAGGATTGAATCTAGTCTTGAAGAATTCGGAAAGCTTTGGAACTATCTACACGAGATTTTTTCAAGTAATTCATGAATTTACAGAATAGCTACTAATACTCAGAAATAATTTAATTAGCATACTAGATATATATAATATTAATTATTTAATTTCCGTAATTTTTTTCGTAACTTCTCCCTTCCGTTTTTCCATTCATTTGCACGTAATCTCCATTCTGAATTTAAGGAAAAGCTTTGTGCCTGTTTTATATTTGGAAACGGCTTGCCAAAAGCTATATTCTTCTGTTCATCATATTGAAAATTCAATTCATTTAATTCTGTAGATGCATCCACACCCTTCTTTCGAAAAGAATGTTTCGAATTATTATTGAGCCTAAGTGAATTGGTTCCTTTCAACTTTCTCATTGTATCTTGATGCTTTGGTTTATCTTCGATCTTTACGATTCTAGGATTTGCAAATGGCTCAATGACTAGAGCATACCCATTACGAAGGTTTAATTTAATAATGGGTCCAGCTTGCATGCGTCGTTGCTTTAATCTCTTTTGTTTCAAGTATTCCATGGGCAAGTGAAAGTCTTGTTCGTGGTCTGAATCATCACGAATAGTGTCATACTTTTTAATATCGCTAATCAATTTATCTTGTCTCCTCTTCCAGTTTTCAAACTTGTTAATAATTCTTTGTATTTCTTTGATCGTTAGATCCTTTTTGCTTTCCAATTCATCATAATCTCTAATATCATTTATATGTGTGATACTTGGTAAATGCCTAATCCAATCGTATTGATTCAATGATTGCAACAGCAAATATAAATTATCGACTTCAGAAAATATTCGGCTTCTATCTATGTTTACCATGGTCCGTTCTTCTTTTTTCATCTTCTTGTGAAATATTTCATAAATGCTATCTTCAAGTATATCTACTTTTTGTTTTGATTTTCTGTGGGAAATATTATTACATGACTCTATGTCCCTAATCTTATTAATATTGATTGGTATGGAGGTTTCATGTTCGCCGTAATATCTGTATAGGCTATTGTTGGATGTTTTGCCAATTATCTTAATCGATTGATCTCTATGAATAAGTTTGTTTATGTTTTCAAAATTGAACAATGCTTTATCTGTATTCTTTTTCAATTCATCTTTCGACCTCAATTTTCTTCCATTGGTCATTGTGTAGATCCTTCACGAATGCATTCCTTGCTTTAGTAGTTAAAATAAAAAAAGCACTTGAATCTGGTAGCCTTCGATATTTCATATATTCGACCCGCGTCAGAAACGGTATCTCTTTTCTTTAACTATTTAACACATAAATTTAGTCTTAATGAGTCATAGAAGAAAGGAAAAGACAGATGATATCTTACCTCTTCATCTGAATAGCCAAGATAAGCATGACTTTACCTACAAACCCAGAGCAAAAAGTCAGAGCGATATTATAAAAAATTGTCATATTGTCAAATGGAAGATACTAACGGTTCTAACAGTGATATGGATAGTCATAATTCACTACTTTGAACGCATTTCTGTTCGTCTGTCAATGGAGAAGTGCCAATGGCAAAATTGGGAAGGCTGGGATAAAGCTGCTCAACCACATAGAATAGCTTTGATTGCAGATCCACAAATTGTTGATGACAGTTCGTATCAAGGAAGACCGGCTGTTTTAAATTACTTCGTGAAAAAGATAAGTGACAATTATCTCCATAGAAATTATAGATTCTTACAGGAATATCTTGACCCAGACACCATTATCTTTCTTGGTGACTTGTTCGATGGTGGAAGAGATTGGAAGAATAAGATGTGGTTAGATGAATATATAAGATTTAACGAAGTCTTCCCTAAGAAACCAAATAGGAGAACTATCGAATCATTGCCAGGCAATCATGATATTGGTTTTGAAACTATCGACTTTGAAGTAGTTAAGCGCTTTGCGGCATTCTTCGGGGAAGCAAATGATATTATAGAGATAGGAAATCATTCAATAATCCTTCTAGATACTATATCTTTATCTTCAGATGATCCACTCGTTAGCAAGGATTCAACGGACTTTTTAAGTAGCCTTGATCAAAGATTAAATCCACACTTTCCAAGAGTTTTGTTAACTCACGTTCCTCTTTATAGATCCAATGATAAACAACTTTGTGGGCCATACAGAGAATCCAATAAACTTTTCCCCATTCAAAAAGGAAAGCAGTACCAAACCGTGATAGAATTCGGAATATCACAACAAGTTCTCAGTATTGTTAAGCCGGATATAGTTTTCAGTGGTGATGATCATGATTATTGTGATGTTCGATATTCATATGATGATAATGGGTCCGAAAGATTTTCGAGGGAAATAACAGTAAAATCTGCATCAATGACTTGTGGTATCCAATACCCTGCTATCCAGTTACTATCTTTGCATAACCCATATAACTTAAATCCTGAGATAAAGCTAGAAAAACCGAAACATGTTACGGAAATGTGCTATCTTCCGAAACCATACTTTGCATTGAAGATGTATGTTTTTCTATTTATTTGCACACTATTTATTTTGGCAGGTGTATTCTTTCAGAGTTTGTTCAACTTGCTGAGATTTGAACAATTGAAGCTCAAAAGGAACGATGATTATCAACTTACTGATAACAGGTGGAAGCCGCAGAAAGATTTAATCATAAATAATCTTAACAAAAGAAGGAACATAGGTGAATTTTTCATAAATGGTTTGATATTAAGCTTTCTCATTTATGTTCTCTTTGGTATATACTACAAATTCATCTAGACACAATCACTCTGTATATTAGAAACATATTACTACAAATATACGACTTCATTTAAAATTGAAAAATTTTTCCAAGTAGCTTGGATTGAAATCAGTTCTCTTTGAGATATATTGTCTTATAGCATAGGGTTTTAAATTTGCCAATTGGCCTTCTGTAACCAAAGAATTGATTAAGTTTGGATGTACTGTAAATAAATTCCCAATCTCCTTTAATAATAGAAAATGTTCCGATAATTCGTTTATTTGCCATTCATCAATAACAGATTGAAATCTTATCACATCTTTTGTTAAAATAATACCTCCAGTAGAGTTAACCACAAATTTTTTATAATGCTCCAAAAGCTGGTTCAAAAAGTTCATTCCTATCTTAACCAAGACATTCGTAAGGTTAGAATTATTTAAATATAATGTAACCTTTTCATGCGAGTCTGTTAAAAATTCGGACACCTCTTCGCATGCCTCAGTGTCATCTTCCACTATATTTTCACATAAGAAGTCCTTCTTTTTTTGTCTTGTTAACAAGTATGCAACTCTGTTACATATCATAGCAATTGTATCACCAATAATAATATTAAGGGAAACTTCACATCGCGATATATAACTATTCGACAAGCTACTCATTCGATTTTTAATAGTGGGAGAATTGACAGCACATGGTAGCATAATCTTTTTTATGCATGATGATAATAAATATAAAATTTCACTTGTCAATTTAAAGGTGCTTAAGTAACTTAAATCCATAGGTTGATTAGAGTTAATCTTAGAATTTGACAGTTCTTGCTTGAGTGTATCATACGCTACCTCTAATCCAGCACTTATATAAAGCTTGCCAAAGTCAAAAAGAAGTATCTCAATGATTTCTAAAGTATACTCTGGTGTCTTATTGGGGGCCAATTCCAAAATGCGGGCAACTGATTCAATCGCAGATTTAATCACTGTCTCAACCTCACTTATGTTTAAATTAGAATATCTTTCATAGTCGGTATCATGCTTTTCTAGGTCAGTCGAGTTTCTTGTATTTCGTTCAGATAAATGAGTTTTCATGAAATTTGTAAATTGATTTAGCCTCTTCTTTTCGGAGAAATGGAAGCTAAATCTATCATGCTCCTGGGGAGACTTTTCGTTATATTCTAAGTTATCTAAATTTTCAAGCTTTGTTGATAAATATTTGTTGGATAATGCCTTTTCGTTGTATGAATTGAATTTTTGAACAATACTGTAAATAGTGTCTTCTAAATTCTTTTTTTCCCTGTTAAAATATATGCTTTCAGAAGTGTATTCAATGAATAAATCATAATAACATTGATCTAATATTGGGCACAATTCATTACTCTTATCTAATTCATTTGTAGTTAAAAATTCTTTGACGTCTTTTGTAAAATCACCAACCAAAACGTATAAAGAATGTAAAACTCTGACATGGGCCAATGTACTTACTGATAGAGAATATTGAAGAAGTGTGCTGATCTTATTTTGAATAATTTGTGCATATATTCTTTGGATAAAAATCTTCAAAACAGGTGTAGCATCTTCAAAAACTTGCTGAACGATTCTTGCTTGTCCTTTGATTGATATTTTTAATCCATCAAGCAATGCTTCTGTAGATTCATCCTTAACATTTTCTCCGAAATCAGGATCTGATAATTTGTTCCATATAGCCTCATTATCGAGTAATGAATTGTCATCCAAATTTTCTGTATCCAACATAAAATCATGTTTATTCAAAAATAATTGTACTACTGTGGCACCGCCATTAAATTGATGCAAAATATTAGCAACTTCTTTCATTCTATCATACTCATCACATTCATAATATACATCAAATTTCTTTAGCAATTCTTTTTCCATTGTTTCACTAAACTTTTCTATAACAGTAACGCAGTGTTCAGTCTTCGGTAAATCAGGAGATGCAATTTTCTTTGCTAAAGTAAGTAGATTGCTGACTGTTTTGGCACATTTAATCTTGTCTTCGTACACTTTGCTGATTCTAAGCTTTTCAAGAGGGTCGTATTTCTCCTTAGTATAAAATCCATGGTAAGCTCTAATCAAAAATATCGTTTCAGTTGATCTATCCCTTGAATTAGTGATCTTATTTAACGAATTCCCTAACGGGTCAATCCTGGTAGAGACTTCTGATATTTTAGTATCCAAATTGCCAAATTTTCTAGTTATTCTATCTACTTTGGATGAAAGTTCAAGTACATTTTCACTGTGTTTTAATTCATAATCCTCAACTTCCTTTTCAGCTTGTGAATTTTTAGCTAAGGCCCTATTATTCAATTGCTTTAACTCCCTTAGCGTTGACTCAAATGTTCTTATATAGGGTTTAGGATCTAAATATTCTAGTTTATTGACTTCGGCACCTTTCAAAAAATGATCCTTACTTAGCTCTTCAACAAAATCATTAACAGACAAACCTCCTAAAAAGTTATCAAGATTGAGTAGTTGGAGAATATCTTCATCCAAGTCGTATATAGAGAAGCTCATCCCGAACTAATTGTCCTTTTCGATCACCGTTGTCGATTTATTTGTTGTTCTGTTTACTATCAGGTAGTAAGAATCAAATGAGTTGTGCATATAAATTGATTCAATATACCGGACTCTACAATAGGACATAATTTAAATCTTATACTAAACGTAATATTCAATATATATAAACTATATTAAACGTCTACGAACGCTATTAAACATCAGAATGCTTAGTTAGATTTGAAGGTGGTGTGACACTTACCACAGTATTGTCTGTCCTTCATGTCAGCCATGAAGATACCAGCACCACAAGTGATAGATGGACATTCTCTTCTCAATCTTTCGACCTTACCATCGTTGTCAACCTTGTAGTAGGTTAAGACAGCTAACTTGTGCTTTCTGTGCTTGTGCTTGATCTTCTTTGGGGTGGTGTAGACCTTCTTCTTTCTCTTCTTACCACCACCTCTTAATCTTAAGACCAAGTGTAAGGTGGATTCCTTTTGGATGTTGTAATCAGATAAGGTTCTACCATCTTCTAATTGCTTACCAGCGAAGATTAATCTTTGTTGGTCAGGTGGAATACCTTCCTTGTCTTGGATCTTAGACTTGACGTTGTCAATAGTGTCTGAAGATTCAACTTCTAAGGTAATGGTCTTACCAGTTAAAGTCTTGACGAAAATTTGCATTTTGGCTTGTCTGCAACTGTTCTGCTTCTTTCTTACCAAGTGGTTAAAGTTTTAAATAAGAAAAAGATGTCTTTATGTCCTCAAAAAAACTTCAATGCTCACCAGAGAGTAGCTGAAAAAATTTTTGCCAATTTAGTACACGTGATTACAAATGCTTGTGTTTGGTGCCCTCAAGATTTAGTTTCTCCGCGTGATTGTTGTCTGTATGCAGGAGATGGTACTTATGTCTCTTTATGGTAGTCTACAATATTAACCCATTTGCAGCATTATTCATTTGCTATGTACTTAAAAATGTGTGGATAGAAAAGGTGTGAAATACATGTAAATGGTGCTCTATTACTGCTTCATTGTGCTATTATTTTGTTATTGCAAAGATCATTGGACCGCATCTCTATCGTTTGTACTTGCTCTAGCTAAGCTAAGACTGTAATGTACCTATTAAGTTCATATAATGTAATTAGCAAAACAAACACTATATATCTAAGCCATCATCAGAATCTTCGTTTATTGGTTTGTTGCGGTCTTGTATGGAGCCGTAATTGACTATACGTCTGTTGGTTATTCCGTTGGCATACAAAAAGTGTTCTAAAGATTCAACAGTGATATTGTTGGGATCATTGCCCAATTTTTCAAATCCTACTATTCTATTAATTTCCTTTCCATTCTTGTAAATCACAACAAATGGTAGTACCTTAATTTTCAATTTCGTCACTAAAAATGGGGCGCTTTCGGCCTTAATTATGAGGATTTTCAAGTTTAGGTACTTCTCAGCAATGATCTTAACGTTAGTATTTTCATCTTATAGAAATGGCTTCAAAAATTCGTTTACGTACTGCTAATCTTCTGTTCATGATTTTGCATTTATCAAACTCAGGCTGGTAAAAATGAACCAAAGTTAATTCGGAGTTAGTTACTATTTCCATTATCAGTTTCTCGTCATTAATTTCTATTACATTTCCTAAAGATCCACTTCTTTCGGTCTCTTCGTTGTCTATTCTTTTAAATTCTTTTGCTAATTCTTGGATCCTTGCTTCTCTATAGTTTGATATCATTGGATCGTCCTCTAACAATTCTAATAAGTCATCCTCGCTTTCAGAATCATGGGCCTCATCATCATTAATTTGCTTTCGAAGTTTAGACTCCTGGTACTTCTCAACTAGTTCTGATTGTTTTTGGTCCATTCTTAATTAACTTCTCTATCAAAGAAGTGTCATTATATTTCACCTTCAATCAAAACGCGTAGTCATTTTGAACAGAACACGCGATAATAGTCTGATGACACCACAAATGCACAAATATATTGCAATACATGATTATAGGCTATCCAACATCCTAAGGATATCTGATATCACTTCAATGTTCTTCTTTATTAAATCATTGTGATTCAAGTCTTTTTGAGTGTTGTTGTTGCTTTTATGCAAGTTAGTAGATGTAGGGTCTTGCAACAATTCAATTGACTTTACAATATTCCTGTCAATATTCCTAACTGTTTCTAGAATCATCTTTAGCTCAAGGAGTATTGCTTCTTGCTGCTTCTCAATATCCTCTTGAGGTTTCGAAGTACCTAGATCTGATGAATTCTCTATCGTCCTTTCAGCCATTGCTAATATATGAAATGACTATATCTCGATTAACAAGCTTTTATGGGTTAATGGTTACGGTTATACTGAATAAAAAGTAAAAGAACTTGTAATGTAATGGTCAGCGTGATACTATTAGTAGATGTATAGTATAACAGAAATGAATGGTAGCTCATAAACTTCGAGTCGTGCACGCTTCTCGTATTTTTGGGTTAGTCTATATTATAAGTCTATTTAATTTTGAATGCTAGTATATATATGCTTTAAATGCTAATATGTAATGAAAATCTCAGGAAGAAGGACATTTTCTTTTCCTTGAATTAGAAACGGGTGTCATATTTCTGGTAGCTGACTTTTCTAATTCTCTTTGTTTAATGATCTCCATCAATAAACGTTTTAATTCATTATTTTCGTTAATAAGTTCAATTTTAATCTTTTCATTATCTTTGAACTTGTTAAGTAAGTAGTTAAACTCCTTACATAATTTTAAGTATGTCGTCTTCAACGTGGTGAAAGTAGAAATTAATTTGCTTGTATTAATCATGCTTTGTTTAATTGATGTTACAGTGGACGGATTAACCATGCTTGTCATAGTAGCATTACTTTCTAGTTTCGATTCCATATCAGAAATTTCATGAGATGCCTTTTTCTTCGTATCCTTAAGGAAGACATCTTCTTCGTTTGAGGTTACACTGCTAGTCAATGTTCCGGGTGAATCCATTGGTGAGGAACTTTCTGTTTCTGACGAACCTGTCTCATTCTTAAAGTTGAGTTTCATTGAATTGGTTTCGTTAAATTCATTGAATGTTGATAATGCTTTATTTATTTCTTCGTTGAGATCATTTGGTTCTGCATTACTTGTGGTTTCATATTGATCAACAAGAATTCGTGTGTTATTCTGGTATATTTGGTTTTGATTAAAATCTAAAAAAAACTTATCGAACTCTTCTGATTTATCCTGGTATTTCTGTTTCTTTAAGGCTGGTTCAACCTTGCTACCCTTTGGTGATAACATGAATTGATTTGAATCAAATATAAATAAATATGTATGGTCTTTGTACTAGTTTGTTAAACTAGACATGAAATGCTAACAATGTCCCAAGTTGCTTAATCATAATATTCAATATGGTTATATATTTTTCTTGTGATGAGATGATTTTTTGTGCAGGATACGTAACTTTTTGTTAATTGCAGCCATTTCATGAAGTATAGATAATTATCAATATGAATAAACATTCCCCTATAATATAGATAAAGAAACATAAGAGCCAATACATCCATTTGTATTCAAACGTCTTCTTAAATTAATTAATATGTTATTTTTGGTTATTCTTGTTATTCTTTTTTATTTTTGTTTTTTTCTTGTTATTTACCAAAATTAAATATTTCTATAGCTTCATGTCTTTAAATTAATTTACTTACAAACTACTTCATGACAAGTTAAATCACTAACTTAATACAGCAAGGAAGCTACAATTGTGATTATCATATGCAATAATATATTTATGCTAGAATCTTAAGAGATTTATGCTAATAATGTAAAATGTGTGATATATACAGCTGGAAGATCTATAATTAAAGCAATCAATGCTATCTAATAGGGATTTATGACATCAAAAGATATGTAAATGGCGCGAATGGCATCAACAATACCGAATCCAATAAACGAAATACCTTTGAAAAATCAAAAAAATGAAATAAATGTAATGCGTTCATCGCTTAATGGGCAATTATTTGCTGAAAACATTGCCTAACTTTGTAACCTCACTTAAAACACTATGGGTTCTATCGGTGACTTCGTTTATATCTTTGATAATTGAATAACTAACATCCGAGACAAAAACACCCGATTCTTCCCATTTCTTGTTTAAAGTCTCTAAAACTGATTCGAATCCTAATTTACCAACTTTGGCATTTTGTCCAAATCTTTCCACTGACCATTCCTCAACTTTTTCACATATTTTCTTTATTGATGCATAGGCTGTGATTTCAGCGTCCTGATTAAAAGTTGTACGTGATTGTGGCATATCTACATCAGGCTTGTAAACCACAGTTTCATTAACCAACAATAAATGGTTCATGGTCAAATTATGCGATTTCATCACAAGGGTCTTATTTACTAAATCAACCTCACTCACTTCTCTCACGTATGAGTGATCTTGTGCACCAACAAGATATACTAACCACCTTGGAATTGATTGCTTACAGCCAATCAATCTCTCTGTACGTAATACTCGACGTTCAACATCGATTTCTCTACTAAGAATGTCAACCGATTCGACATGAGTAGACAATTCATTTGGGTATTTCTGCCAATTAGCAGCCGTGACTTGTTCCCATGGATAATTGAAATAATGATTTGTTGTAAAAAGTTTCATATCGTAAGATTTATAGTTCAAATATTAAATTTATTAAGGAGATTTGATAAATGTATATATTCAGTTTATCTCTTGTGACTTTGACCGGACTTATATTATAAGCAAATTTTTTTTGTAAAAAAGAAATGTGGTAAACCGGTAAAAGTCGGAACTGGAAAACATGAAAATGGAACTGCATAGAATTAAAATATTGAATACTTGCTAGAAAAGTAATTAATCAGAATCAGAAAAGTTATCTCGGTAACGCGAAGACAGAGAATTGAGAGAATAATTAGAGATAACAGAATTTTTTCTTTGCTGCAAATTAGAATCCAGTTCATTTCCACTATCATCACTATCATCACTTATGAGTTCTCTCAGTTTAAATCGCTTTTTTTCCGATTCATTGAGGTTTAATTGCCTCTTTGAGGGATTAAGTTTTGGCTTGATTATTGTAGTATCGTTAACATAGGATATGTAAAATTGATTGAAAAGATTCATTGTCTCAGGTGAAATATTAATAAGATCGCCTATATGCAATTGGGTTGTAGCGGTATGGTCTAGAAGTGGTCTGTGTGAAAATTTGGATAGGAATGGCTGGACGGTGTTTAGTAAAAAATTGTCGATTCTTAATTCCTGTTTAAAATCAGAAGACAGAGTCTTCGCATCGTATAACGATTTGAGTAGTACTTGATGCTCTAAATCAAGCTTGACATGAGCCACAATACCATTTAAAGAATATGGTTGGTTGTATTTCTTTTCGTTGTGACCAGTGGTAAATTCGTGTAATATGTTTTGTTGTAATTGACGGTAGTTAAACTCTTCCCCTGGATTTGATTCAACTATTGATTTCGTTATATTTTTAACAAAATTCAACAATTGCTTTTCTTCATCCTTGAAAATTAACACTTTATGAATTTCGGAAAAGTGAATAGAGCTGTATTTTTCAGGTATAATAGAATTAATGTAGTTAGATAATTTATTCAATGGCTTATCTTTCTCCTTAGCTTGTGATATTTTTTTACCATTGATATGAATATTTCCGTCTGTAACTTGACTAGGTAAATCTTCCTTTTCAAATTCACCTGCATTTTCAATTTCATCAATAATCCTGGAAGCTGTTACGCCTAGCTGCAAAAAGCGTTTATATTTTTCACATTTGAATGCCTCAATAATTAAACTGTAATTCGTTTTGACATTGTTGATTACATCAATTCCATCGAAGCGAGTCAAGGGTATGTTTCTTTTATAGAACTTTTTAAATAAGCTTAACTTCAATTTGTACTTTATCAATCTTTCGAGTCCAAATGAAAATGGTAGCTTCAATTGAGTTCTATGATAGTAGGATGTTGTCTTGTCAAACTTTGAATTAAGAAATACAAATTCAATATTTGAAAACTCGTATAATAAGCCATAATGGCATAAATATGTGTCGAGCACTAGAGCGATTTTCTTTCTCTCGATTGATAGTTTGGTATTCCAGGTTGTTAAGAAATCTCTAAATATTTCTCTTGTATTTAAACCTTCAGGGTTATAGTAATATTCGTTTGTTGAGTTATTTTTATACATATTTTTGCTATTGGTCAAGTTTGAAATTAACAACGGTTCAATGAAATCACTCCCATCCATATTACAACATATACCCAAGCTGATTGTTTTATTTGTTCGCATGTCACCAGTAAGGTTAACGTTATCCACAGGATTGGTATATATTTTGTCATTGTTGAAATCAGTCAAATCATACAAATTATTGATATCGAATAATAATTCGTTGAATTGATATATTTCACTCGTTTTATATTCTCGAAGAGTATTTCTAAGTCTATTTCTTTCTGCCAGAAGACTCTTCGATTTCTTTTGAATTTCTGTCTGCTGCGTTAAATTTTGCTTAATTGATTCAACTTGTGGTTCCAAGAATTGCATGAAAGTATGGGGCCATGAAGACACATCAAGTAATGCGTCATTTCCCAAGTCCTTGGCATCAAATAATTGCTTAATCTCTTTATAAATAGTGCATAATTCTCTCTCCAGTGGAACAATATCTGGTTGTACTAACAAATGTTGTAGATAATAAACCTTTAAACATTTCATTACTTTGTCATTCTCAAAAAACTTCAATAATCTTCCAGTAGTTGGATTATGCGGCCTACGAGTTTTGGTTTTACCTTTCGTTTTATCTGATAATTTCAAACATTCTTCTCTTATATTTGCTTCATTTGAAATCCATCTATTCAATGACGATCTAGATATTGGAAAGATATTCTGATCTTTAAAATGTTTGATGGTATCCGATTGTTTATGTTTTGGGTTGATGAGCAATTGATAATTATGATAATTTAATGCCTCAACTTTTTGCAATAAACTGGTCTGCGGTATTGAACCGGTATCCTGCTCGGTCATATCTAGATAACTCGCATATATCTATGTTCAATAGTATTATTATTATTATTCTACCTAATTAAATGGGAAGAATTATTCTCATTTGTTTATTTTCTCCCGCATTTCACATGATCAGCCTTGCGATTATTTTTAGTCAGAATCGCACTATAACATAGCCATAAAATATCTCTCTTGACGGAAGTATAACAGACACTCCTTATTGTTCTTTATAGTTTTCAATTGTTTAATTTGAAGCCTTGTTGTCAAATCCCAATTTTTTATGAATCGTTCCTGCTTATGCAAGGTTTCAAACACCGGATCGACTGGGACTCTGATGATGGCTGTATCCTTTGTGTAGTTAGACGGCAGCTCAGATTGCCTTGTGAAACCTCCACAAGCGTAATATACACTTCCTTATATATTAATTATGCATATAATGCATGTAAGCTAAGCTTAGTATGCTGTCATGCGATTAGTTTCTTCAATAAGTAGGCGTATTCAAAATTCAAATCCCGAGCCCATCAATGGCTATAAGTGAACGATGATTCCGTCCAGTTGTAAGTTGTAAAACTTGGTGGTTAAAAAACAAGTAATAGGATAGAAATAATTATAATAACTTGGTTATTGCTGTTGATTTTCATATACTATTATGGCTAAACCTATTCATCATATCATTAAACGGGCATGCTTAGTGATTATAATTGTTAATGCAATATACTTAACTAGTTGTTTGATTTTTTACTCGAAAGACAATGAGTCAATAATTCAATCTATCAAGAACAGCATTATTACACCAACATATTCATATACGCATTTGGAAGCAACTGATCAAGATGAAGCGACTGCAACAAACTATGGGGAAGAAATTAAGAAATTACTCGAAGAGGTTAAAGTAAATAAAGACAATAAATATTGGTTAACTAATACCAAACTTTCACATACGAAATTGACAGTCAATGCAAATGACTTCACAAATAATTCACAGAGTGAAACTTCATGGAAAAACAAGAATAGCATATTTTACGATCCAAGATTAACGTTATCCCTTTATATTAATTACATAAAGCATAATTCTGGACAAGAGGTCAGTAAAGAGGATTTAAAAGTGCCATTTGATTGGGCCGATTGGGTTGATTTAACTTTATTGAATGAAGACTTGGCTCAACCTTTAGCTGACAGAAAGAACTGCGATTGGATCAAAAAATTTACCAAAATAGATCAAAATTCTGATATTTCTGCTATAAAATGTATGGACAATTCTGATTTATCTCCGAAATTAATTAAGAACTTAGGATTTGATTCTCATGAACAACTACCTGGTTATGTGGTTTATGGATACTGTGAAAATAGGGCATTTCACGATACAAGAATCGCCCAAGGGAAATCATACATTTTTACCCATTTGCAAAATCCTTATAAATTGATATTTTTAAATAGAGATGGTGGTACATACGAAGTTGACGTTGAAGGTACAAAGAGTGGTATTGCTAAGTCTGGTTTAATGAATGAATATTTATCTAACAATTTTGGAAACAATAAAGATGTGTTGAAGAAAATAAACGTTGGTTCTGAATTAAATTTAGAATTTGACCCTACTAAAGAATTCAAATCTTTAAAAAAAGAAGAAAAGGTTCAACCAATGCATTTGAAATCGAATGAAGACTCATATAAGATGTATGAATTATTACATAACAAGGATATTACTAAAAGCCCTGATTTGCATCTACCAAACGAGGCATTTCATTATTCTAGTTCAATAGTACATGAGAAATTTACATTGTTAGAAAGATTAAGGAACTTACAAGACCTAACTAGAAGCGAGGATGCCTTTTATAATTCTTTGAAACTTTCTAGAGAACATAATGGAAATAGTGAGCCTGCCTACTTCCAAATGTCAACTTTATCGGTAATTGGAGATCCTCGTAATGCAGATAAAGATCAAGGTTGGCATTATGATTGGAGGTTCTTCAATGGAGGTTTAACTTATGAAAGGGAAGGGTGGACCAAGTCTGAATTAACTATTCGTACAAATATCATCTTAGAAAGATTAGTTCGTAATTGGTTCAGATTTGCAGAAGAAAAGGGACTTGTTTCCTGGTTAATGCATGGGCCATTATTATCATGGTATTGGAATGGTTTAACTTTCCCATTTGACAATGATATTGATATCCAAATGCCTGTAAAAGAGCTAGTCAGGTTAGGAGAGAATTATAATCAAACGCTTGTAATTGAAGATTTAGAAGAAGGGTATGGAAAATATCTAATTGATGTTGGAACGTTTATTCATAATAGAGATATAAGTACAACCGGTAATCATATTGATGCAAGACTTATAGATGTTGACTCTGGAATTTATATTGATATTACTGGTTTAAGTACAAGCGATGCTCCAGTACCACAACTATTCTATACTAATGGCGTATTTGGCGATAAAGAAAAAGACATGGAAAAGTACAATGATAGAAGAAAGCATTTTTATACATTAGATCAATTGGCTCCATTGAAATATTCAATGTTAGGAGGAGTGCCAGCCTATGTCCCAAACAAAATATCATCCAGATTACATTTCGAGTACCCAAGTGGCTTGACCAGACCGGAATATTTACAATGGCATTTTGTTCCAAAATTAGGATTATGGTTATCCGAGGAACAACTTAAAGGTGCCTTTGATGTGAATGATTATAGTGTATTACTTTTTCATGACTCACACGTAGATAAACTTAGCATGATGGAATTGGTACTTGATATGTCGGACGAGGAAATGTATAAGCTTTTGAAAAGTGATGATATGATTTTAAGTGAATATTATAATACCCAGAAGTTGACAAAATTGCATGAAAGAGAAAAAAAATACTTGTTCAATATTAAAAATGAATCAGCAACAGGTTCAACAGATATTGTTGTTGAAGATAGGACAGAGTTGAAGTCGAATGCAGAATTGGAACTGGAGTATAATAAATTTGTTAACAAGAATTTTAAAATGCGTAAACCGTCAACAATTCCTTTATTTCAATATGAGAGATTCGAACAGCCCTCACACCATGAGAAATAAAACCAGTTTTGTATACTTTAGTTAATGATCTAATGAAATTTATAACAGTAGTTTTGCAGTAAACGTAAATTTAATGTAGTGCGCTTGATATTAATGTCGTTCATTCAAATGTCGTCTTTACATTTTTAATGCATTCAGTTCTAGACTACATGATTAATATACTATAAAACATAAAAATATTGTTGTGTCTTTGATATTTAGTTTATTTATTATCCTCATAGACATATGCTTAGATATAATCCTATAAATAAGTTTAAATGCCTTTCAAGGCAACTTAGTACTGTTGCATCAGTTCCCCAATTTAAGACATCAGTACTTCCAAACGGATTAACGGTGGCTAGTGAAGTTATGCCAGGAACCAGAACAGCTACCGTTGGTGTGTGGATTAATGCTGGATCGAGAGCCGATAATCCCAAGAGTAGCGGTACTGCTCATTTTTTGGAGCATTTGGCATTCAAAGGAACTCAGAAGCGGTCACAATTGAATTTAGAACTAGAAATTGAAAATTTAGGATCACAGATTAATGCCTACACATCCCGTGAAAATACCGTTTATTATACTAAATGTCTTGAGAACGATATTTCTCAAAATATAGATATCTTAAGTGATTTGTTGACAAAGTCTAAATTGGAGGCAAGAGCGATTGAAAACGAGAGACATGTTATTTTGCAAGAGAGTGACGAAGTGGATAAGATGTATGATGAGGTTGTCTTTGATCATTTACATTCCGTGGCTTTTAAGAACCAAGATCTTGGTAGAACAATCTTAGGACCAAGAGAACTCATCAAAACAATTAAGAGGAATGATCTAGTTGACTATATTCAAACAAATTATAAAGGGGACAGGATGGCATTAATTGGTGTCGGTTGTGTTAATCATGATGAGCTAGTCAAGAAGGCCGAACAGTTCTTTGGCCATATAAAAAAGAGTGAAATACCTTTTACACAAAATGGTGGCGATCTTCCTATATTTTATGGCGATGAAATTAGAATTCAAGACGATTCGTTACCTAATACATATGTTGCTTTGGCTGTCGAAGGGGTAAGCTGGTCAGCTCCAGACTTCTTTACAGCGTCTGTTGCGAATGGTATTGTTGGAACTTGGGATAGATCTATTGGTATTGGTTCCAACTCACCTTCACCTTTAGCAGTGACTGCAGCAACCGGTGGCCCAAATCAAACTCCTATTGCCAATTCCTATATGGCGTATACGACATCTTATGCGGATACCGGATTAATGGGTGTATACTTCACCGCGGAAAAAGACGCTGATTTAAAGTTATTCGTCGAAGCTGTTCAAAAGGAATGGTCCAGATTGAAGTCGAATAATATAACTGACGATGAAATCGAAAGGTCTAAGGCCCAATTGAAGGCGTCGTTGGTATTAGCATTAGACGATTCAACTGCAATTGCAGAAGATATCGGAAGACAACTAGTTAACACTGGTAATAGATTATCGCCAGAGGAGGTATTCGAAAGAGTAGAATCCATTACCCGAAAAGATGTTGTCGATTGGGCTAATTATAGACTTAAGGGTAGACCGGTTGCTGTCTCAGCCATTGGTAACGTTAAAACCTTACCTTCTCATAAAGAGATTACTAAAGGTATGTCATTATAATTGAATTAACTGTATATAGTAGATCTGTTATTCTATTTATTGTTCAATATACACAATAAATTATTTCTGTATTATTGCTTCTTCAGCATCAACATTTTCTTCGTCATCTCCTTCTTCTTCAATTTCGCTCTCTCCTTGCAATACAGATTCATTCGGAACTCTTTTCATTATCTCCGGTGATTTAAAAAGCCTTCCTATATTATCAATCCATCTTTTTCTTTTATCCAATAATGCTCTTAAACCACTGTTTACTGCTTGCTGTTGTGGAGTTGCAGTTTCCGTTTTCTTTTTCTTGTTTTTAGCTTTAAGTCTTTTCATGTATGCTTGATCGACTTGTTTATCTAAGTCATCTAATATAGTACAATATTCTTGCCATGCAATTTGTTCCTCTATTATTGGAATTAATTTCTTTTTATTCTTCCTGTTTCTAACAGAAGCTTCTTTCAACTCTTTCTGCAATGACCTGATCTCAGCACATACTTCATCATCTTCCTTATTCTTAATCCAATCATCTGAATCTATAATACTACCATCTGTCTTTTTTATTGAACGGCCATTAATTTGAAGTTTACTTTTAGCTTCTTCCTCAGAATTTGGTAAATTCATAAAGATTCCTATGTATTTCAATTCTCTTTTAAGTCTTTCTTCAATAGAGTGAAAGTCACTTACCTCCGTCGTTAATTTATAATCCTCGCCAGTATTTAATTGGGTAGCAACGTCTTCCTCGAAAGGGTTTTCTTCCTCATTATTTTCTTCTTCTTCATCTACGGAACGACCTTCATGAGTACTCAAAATCGCAGATAACAATCGATTAGAGAGTGGTCCGCAAGAAACTTCTTCCGTATAGAGATTATTATCATCCAAGTCATCTATCGAACCTTTAGGTTTGAATGAATCTACTGAAGGTTGTTGGAAAGCTGGCGAGTTCAACTTTGATCCCAAACTTGCATCTTCTTCTGCCCATACATCAGCGTAGAAAGGTCCTAATTTAGGAGTGATATACGGTGTAACATTAGGGTCATAACTCTGTTTATCAAGTCCTGGTGGAATCACATTTTTTTCATTTAAAAATTTTATATCGTCATTCAGAAAGAGTCTAAAAAATGATTCAATGTATGATTGATAAGTGGTGAATTGAACTTGATTTGTTGGCGGTTTGTTTTTTGAAAAATCGGTATCAGGAATTCTACCTGGTAACATATCCAATAGATCACGCTCTGGATACGAAGCAACTCCATATTTTTTTTTAAGATACTCTTTTCCGTGAGTTTCCAAACCATTGTTATCTTCTGAAAACAATCCTAATTCTGCAATAGCTTCCGCCGGTAATGTTTGGGACGTTACGAACTCAGACTTTGGGTTTTTTAGTCTGGTATCATTATTTTGAGTATATGAACCTAATTGTACTGGAGGTGTGGGATCATCCTTCGAATTCACTAGCTCATCAGGGACATCTGGTTTTTGAATTTCATCATTCATTGTCTCTTCATCCCGTTTAATTTTGTCATCGTCTCCGTTTTCATATTCCTCTTCTTCTTTGATTTTTACCAGAGTATTAAGTTTTCGCCTCTTTGATAAAGTAACTGCCTCGTCATCTTCATCAACTGCATTTTGACTTGACGTACGTACGCGATCACTTTGAGAAGTTTGATGTTTATCGTCTATGTCTTCTTCTTCATTGATTTTATCGTCATCAGTTTCACTTAATCCGAGGTTTTTGCTTATTTTCTTTAAAATATCAGAATCAGTTTGCTCGACTTCAACCAAATCTTTGGAAAGTTTATTCAAAAGCTTACTCAAATTCAATAATATATTTACACTAGGAACACTCCTTATAGAGTCACCATCTAACAAACCAACAGACGAATCATAAGTGAGTTTTAGCTCGTTAATTATATCATCTAACGTAGTTGATGCGGAGTGGGTCTCACTTGAAGCCATAATGTAGCTCACTATTTTTTAATATTCAATCAAACTATCAATATACCAAAATTGAATGAAATGCGTCAAATTATAATAGGGGTATAAGAGATTATACCTTCAACAATATAAGCACTATCAAATGTAAGGTTAATTTACTGTCAATACAAATACTGTACAGGTATTTAACTCGTAAACAATTATTGTGCTCTATGATTAAAAATGTAGTTTTGTGTAACTTTTATATTCATTTAGTGAACAATTAGTATATATACAAGCTATGTGAATTTAATCAGAAAAAAACCTATAGATAAGAATAGATAATCATGGGGAATACTTCTTAATATATTTAGCATCCTGCTTTTGCTTAACTTCATCAACCAACCTTCTTATAATCTTGTGTCTAGCAATAGGCGCATCTTCAGGTCTTTTCCAGGCTTCTGGGAACGATGATTCAGCCTTTTTGGTATGCATATGGCGAGAGTCTACCGGAATATCAGAAAAGTCATCAGATAAATCTTTTGATGCCTCTAATAGTCTATTGAAAATAGATACTAAGTGGCGAGCATTTTGCGTAGCTTCTGCATGTTGGTTAGTAGAAAATTTGATCGTGTTGGTATGATGATTAAATCTGTTAGTAGCCAAGATTTTAAATTTCCTTTGCTGTTTCTCATTCAAATTCAAGTCTTCTATGTTACACAGTAATGTCACCTTACGATTCAATGAATTGGATCCATCACTAAAATCAGTATTAAAAGATAATTTGATTGGTGTATTCGTAGTTGGTTCTGGTTTATATTCTTGACGGAACTTTGCTAATAATGGCATTTCATATGCACTGACTCTATGCAACTGTTCTATTTTTCTCTGTTCATGGGATGTGGCACCTTTGTCAATAACATTAATATTACTTTTCATAGGCGGTAATCCTCTTAAGTTTACAGGCGTGTTATTCATATGCCTTTCCTTGAAGTTATCAATTTCATAAGCATACTCTAATGTCGGTTTGACTTTTCCTAAAGATGTGAAGGTGGATAATATAGCACTTCTTTCTTCATCATCTGGGTTATATTTCTCACCCATAGCATCTTTTCTCAAGTTGTGCAATTCGAATATTCTGTCCGCAGGTAAACCTTTCCAAGCGTGTGGATTAAGATATAAAGGTCCACTCAGTTCTGACTTTGAATATGAACGACTAACTCTATAATTAGAGTAGTTTTTCAAAACTCTAGGTACATTTCTACCTGAATACATTCTTAAATACATTAAGAGTCGTTAACCTACAGAGTTATTATTCTACTCAAGATTTTGTCTGAGCTAAATTTCAATCTCGAAAAATTTATTAGTCGTGTTATTACCATTAATTACCTATTTATGGTTCCTTTTTAATTGTAACATTTCCCTGATCCGCACTGGTTGCATCTGTATCATCTTCAGTCTTTATCTTTTTCTCTTGCTTTATTTCTTTAGTCTCCAGTAGTTGTCGCTTTGTTGAGGGTTTAAAAAATTGGGAAATAGATTTTTGAGGCGGATTATATTTTTCAATCAAATATTTTCCTTCTGCAAATGGTTTACCTACGTCACTACTGACAGTATGACATTCGATATTCATATATGCTTTATTATGAATTGTATTCAAACTGATATCAAGTAGATCGTCCGACCAGTGTTTCTTTGGATCTAACCATTCATTCCATGCATTGGTGCCTGGCATTAGCATTAAGGGTTTCCTGGGATGTAGCCACGATAAATCCTTTGAATCGTCCTTCGTTGCTGGACCTGTTATAATTGTAAATGAAGATAAGTATTTAGAGTGTGTATCTATACTAGAATAACTTGTATTGTGCGAGTACAAAGCTGCAAGATAAATTAATGGGGCCTCCGAAGAATGAACGAAATATGGGGTCTTTGTCTTACCCGATTGAAGCCACTCAAAGTAGCCTTGAATCGGCACAACACACCTTGTCTGTTTGGCACTATTCCAAATTGGAGTTTTATTTGCCAAAGATTCTTTTCGACAATTAAAATGCTTTCCCTGATATTTCTGGAGTTCACGAGAATATTTTGGCCCAGGCTTTCCTTTCCTCTCGACTGGCGTTGGGTCTTTTGGCTTAGCCCAAGATGGAACTAGTCCAAAAATCAGGGGCTCGATTACATAGCGATTTATAATTGAAGAATCTGAATTTTTAGTTTGATATATTATTAAGGCAGTTCTTGTTGGTGGAATATTATATGAAGATTGAAACGTTTGGTTTGAAAGATTTAAGATCATTATTTCAATTCGATTGGAGGTCGTTTCTTCATTAGATTTGTCAATTGCCTCATAACTTGTATCTGTTAATTGCTTTATTGAATATTGCGCATCAGGATTACTTCTATTTAATACAGTCTCGTTGAATTGTTGTGGCAATTCATTTATATTCTATATTATTGTTAGTCATAAAGAACGTATATTGGAACACACGAGTTTATACACACTATTCCCAATGCATAGCGCCCACACATCTTAAAGAAGTCTGAAAAAAGAATTTACACTTTTAATTGTAGACATATCCTGTAAGTGCGCGTATATTATCGTCTAAATTGCAAGTTATTGCTCCTCATTATCATAAAATATAGGGTAGTCTTCGTCAGAAATTTCCCTATCGAAATACTCAGGTTGGTCTTCCTTACTCAAAAATTCATCATATGAACAGTCAAAATTGTGGCTACAATTTGGATCATCAGAATATTCATCAAATTCCTCCCCATCGAAATATTCTGGTTGGTCTTCTTTACTTAAAAATTCATCATACGAATATCTAGGAAATTCATTATTTCTTTTGCTGGAATCTTTTTCCGTGCTATTGGATTTTCGATTATTTGAACTTGGCTTTTCAGAAGATGAATGAATAAAAGAATCTGAATTCTTTTTTCTTATTTTAAGGGGTCTTGGTATACTCCCCAGCGATTTACGAAAATTCTTATGATGTTCTCTCCATTTTCGTTTAAAATTTAAATAATCATCCCTCTCTTGCTGCAAAATTTTATACTCTTCCTGATCAACTGATAAGTCATTGGTTTTCCCTAGATGTGTTTCTTCCACAAATTTTATATTCTTTAATTCTTCGGGCATATAATCTTGCTTTACTTTCCCATGAGTGAAGTTGGGATTATATTTATAATCATCCCCGTAGCCAAATTCTTTCATTAGTTTTGTTGGTGCATTTCGTAAGTGTAAAGGTATTGGAATTGAGGTTGTGTCGGGGCTTTCCTTAAATAAAGCTTGTGCTGAACGTAATGCCCTATAAGACTTTGTTGACTTTGGCGCCCTCGCCAACTTTGTAGCACAGTGGGCTAATATTATTTCACCTTCAGGCATTCCTACAAATTCCAAAGCTTCCTTAGCAGCGATCGCAAACGGTAAGCAAGAACTATCTCTCAATCCAACATCTTCGCTAGCTATAACAATCATTCTTCTAGCAATAAATAACGGGTCCTCTCCACCAACTAGCATTTTGACTAAATAAAATACTGCAGCATCAGCATCCGAACCCCTAACTGACTTATGAAAAGCACTTATAGTATCATAATGGGACTCGCCCTGCTTATCATACATCTTCTGGTAATTTCTCGTCTCTAGCAAAGGCTTTAAATTTTGTAGACTTACCTTGATGACTCCTAAGTTTTCTGGTATTTGAATCATTTTCTCTCCTTCTTCATACTCTGAGAACCTTGAGTATTGGACACTTGATAAATATGCATTAATGGACTCCAAAATATTTAATGCAACACGAGAGTCGCCCGCACTCAATTTTGCAATATGATCTATTGCATCTTTTTCTAAAGCAATTAGATGCAATCCAAAAACTAGCTTTCTAGATTTGTTAACAACCAATAAACCTCTATTGATTATTTTTACTATATCTTCTTTCGATAAAGGCTCCATGATGAATGTATGCATACGAGATAGTAACGCATTATTAAGGGTAAAGGATGGATTCTCTGTAGTAGCTCCAATTACTGTAACTATACCTTTCTCTATTACCGGAAGAAGTAAATCTTGTACAGCTTTATTAAACCTGTGTATTTCATCAAGGAAGAGAATAGTTTTGCGTCCTGTGAGTCTTTTCTCGTTATCCGCCATAGTAAATACTTCTCTTAGACGTTTTGCATTGCCTTCCGCACCTGACACTTCTATAAACTTACAATTTGAAGTTTGAGATATTATCCTGGCTAGCGAGGTCTTCCCAACACCTGGTACACCCCATAAAATAAACGAAGGGATTTGATCTGATTTAATTATGTTCTTCAAGATTCCATGCTCACCAACGAGCTTCTGTTGTCCATAGTATTCATCTAAACTTTTTGGTCTAAGTCTTTGTGCTAAGGGAAGTTCTGCTTCTCGTTTTAATTTCATAAATTCTTGATTCTTTTTCAACGCAATGGACTGCTTGGGAATATCATTTAAGGCCCGAACCTTTTCGGCTGGTACTTTATCTTCGATCTGTTGAGGAAATGGAGTGCTCTTATCTGAATACTCCCCTTCGCTATCGTTGTTAAGTCGCCTATTATAACCTTTTTTGAACGCAGTTTCAGATTTTTCTCTTTCTATTTTTATATTCTTTTCTCCGGAACCATAGCCTTTCATTTTCTTTTCTGCAATTAGTAAGCTAGTAAGTGTTGGTTTATCTTTGATATAATTTGACAGTTTATTTTCGGTCTTAATTTTTCTTGAATCAAAAGAATCCATCTTCAATCCTAAAGAAGTAAACACATCGTGTTTCTGTCTACTTGACGCTTCAGTATTATGATTTTTTGATTCATCTCTAACCTCGTCATCATGCTTTGTAGATATTTTTGCATTGTTTGATGTATTTAAATCTTGTAAATCCAAGCAACTATTAACATGTTGCTCCAAAAGAGATCTGGGGAATGTTTTGAAGCATAAGGGACATTCGACATCCATTAATTCCTATGTTTGAAAATATTTATGGCAATAAATTATATCTTCCATGATCATCAATATACGCGTTAAGCTAACGCGATAATACTTAAATTTTCCAAAAAAAAAAAAAGAAGCTTATCTTAAGTTGGTATTCAAATATGACCATTGATCTTATCTGGAATAAGTTCCCTCTAAAGCAAGTTGAACTTAAATTGTCTAAGGTATTAAGGTGTGGCCAGACGTTTAGATGGAAGAATGTAAACAATGTATGGTCATATACAACCAAAAATAAAATCATTTTACTCAAGCAAGATGAAGAATATATACATTATTCGTGGATTGCTAGTGAAGATATACGTACACAGCTGAAATTAAATTGTCATTTTGATAAAGAAACATTTGAATTCATAAAGGATTATTTTAATTTACCGATTAAGTTAGAAACTCTATATGAAGAATGGATTGAAAAAGATGGTTTATTCAAAATTTCTTCTAAGAAATCGGCATTTGATCAATTCACTGGAATAAGGATATTGAGGCAGGATCCTTGGGAAACTCTCATATCCTTTATTTGCTCATCAAACAATAATGTGAAGAGGATTTCAAAAATGTGTGATAGTATATGTACTGAGTTCGGGAAATATATCAATGAATATAATGGTATCAAATATTACTCATTTCCAACGGCAGAAGATTTATCTAGTAATCCAAAAGTTGAAAGTAGGCTTAGAGATTTGGGTTTTGGGTATCGAGCTAAGTATATTTATCAAACTGCCTTAAAATTCACCAGCGATGAATTTCCAGATATTACTTTGGATAATCTATATCAGCTTCGGACCAAAGATTACGAGACAGCCCATCAATTTTTATTACAATTGACTGGAGTTGGACCTAAGGTGGCAGATTGCATTTGTTTAATGGCTTTAGATAAACACGATATTGTTCCTGTTGATACTCATGTCTACCAGATAGCTATCAGGGATTATAAATTCAAGGGCAAAAAGGATTTGAAAACAATGAATAAGAAAACTTATCACGATATAAGGTTATTTTTCAAAGAAATTTTTGGCGATTTCGCTGGTTGGGCTCAATCTGTATTATTTACATCAGACCTTTCGGATCTAAACAATGGTGTGAATAAATCAGAAGAAACTGAAATCAAGATCGAACAAAAATCAGAAGAACCTGAAATTAAAATTGAACAAAAACCAGATTCGATTGTTATACAACGTAAACGGGGAATTATTTTAGAATCACCATTACACCAAGAAAATTCCGAAATAGTTGAATCAACTAAAAAGCGAAGTACGAAATGAAATAGCATCCTTATATGATTTTATACCATATTTGCTTGCAGCATATGCGGAATACTCATCAACAACTATAAAGACCTAGATATAATCTATATTTAGGTTTACCACGACAATAAATTGTATATTTTAACTTCGAAGATAATCTTACATTATCATATACATAAATAAGTGACTAATGGAACGTCATCTAATAAAATGATAAGCGTATTGTATACACCGAGAAATACTAACTACTTTAACAATGAGCAAGTAGTGTGTTATATTCTATTTATTTCCTCCTAGAACATTAGTTAACTTCTTATATTACTCTTAGCTAACTAACTAACCTAAACTACCTATAATTAGTTCCTAATTTCCTTCTTCTTCCTCTTGAGACTTCATGAATAATCTACTCTATTTATACACATCGTTTTACCACACTGATGTAACGCTACATATATTCACTAAGTATATGTAGATGTGATCTCTAACAACTCATGTAA